TTCCCCCCCCCCCCATCATCCCCTGCCCCCTCCCTGCCTCTATGGTGGGTACTTCACAGTATCACGGTCCTCCTGTTGTTCATTGATTTGCTCGAGCGGGCCCAGTAACGTCTCCATTGGAGACTTTGTTACTGTGTTTGGCATATCGAATACATCACGGGTAGCTTGTCAGGCTCTGCCATGTGGGCGAGATACTCTTGGTAGCTTGGTAGCTCTCCGAGAGGGGTGGAGGAATCGAACTCGGGTCGGCCATGTTGGCCGCTTGTAAGGTGAACACCCTACCGCTGTGCTATTGCTCCAGCCCCATGGTAGGTACTTAAGAAACCCATTTCTTAGACCAGAATGCTTTCTGTACACCCCCACCCCACCATGATCCTTATTTCATAAAAAATATTAAAACTACCAAACAGCCTGCTGAATTAAAAAAAAAAAAAAGGTCAAGTCTGTAGCTCAAAAGGCTTAGCATATGCTTCAACTCCTGGTACTGTATGGTTCCCTGAGCACGTGGCTAGCAGCACCCCACAAGTACCACTAGGTGTGGCCCTAAATCTAAGACTGAGTTTTTAAGGGCTGGAGTGATACCACAGCGGTTTGCCTTGCACACAGCTGGCCGGCCAACCTGGGTTCAATTCCTCCGCCCCTCTTCGAGAGCCCAGCAAGCTACTGAGAGTATCTCGCCTGCACGGCAAAGCCTGGCAAACTACCCGTGACATATTCGATATGCCAAACACAGTAACAACAAGTCTCACAATGGAGACATTCATTACTGGGCCCACTCGACAGTGCTACAGTGCTGAGTTGATTAAAAAAAAAAGGCATTATCAGTAGTATGATTTTATACAGGCTTTATTTTTGTCTTTTTAGGTCAGACCTGACTGTGCTCAGGGCTTACACTTATCTCTGCTCAGTTATCACTCCTGACAGGGCTTGAGGTGACTTACGTGTGCATCTGTTTATTTGGGGTTAGTCATACCCAGGGATACTAAGGGGTTACTCCTGGCTTTCCTGGGATTAGGGGTTATTTATATCAGTATAGGTGCCTTTATAACTTTCTTGAATATTTTATATCATTTATACATTTGAATGTTTGTCTTGCTATGCAGATGATAAATATTCATATAGAAAAGTTTCTTTTTGGGGGAGGAGTGCACACCGGCAGTAGGCCTTGTGCTCAGGGATCACTCTTGGCAGTGCTTGGGGGAACATATCTTAGGTGCTAAGAATCGCCTTACCTGTTGTACTACTGCTCTGGCCCCAGAAAAGTTTAGAATTTATTGCAGTTAAATGTATGTGACTGATATTCGGGGTCTTAGTAGTGAAAAACAAAGTTAAATTAGACTGTGAATTTCCATTAAAACTGAGGTAGAAACAACATTTTGTAAAAGTAGTAAAGTTATCTTGTCTCAGGTTATTTTTTACTGCCATCTACTGGTAACTAATGTTTCAGAATAAAATCTAAGAAAAGTGTATCAAAAGAACTTAAAAGGGCTGTTCTGCAAACCACAGCACCCAAAAGGAGAGAACAAAGGGAGTGCCCTGCCACAGAGGCAGGGTGGGATGGGTGGTGGGGGAGTGGGAGGGATACTGGGATTGGTGGGGGTGGGGAATGGGCTCTGGTGGTGGGATGGATACTCGATCATTGTAGAACTGAAACCCAAGCACAAAAACTTGTAAGTCTATACAGCTGTATCTCATGGTGTTTCACTTTAAAAAAAAAAAGGGCTGTTAAAGGAGGCACGTTGGAGACAGGCGCGAATCTGTGGGCACTGGTGAAAGAACCATTAGCAGTAGCTCTTATATTGGAAAGTTGTATGCCCAAAACTTTATTATGAACAACTTTATAAATTGTGGTATTTATTTTATTTATTTTTGGCTTTCTGGGTCACACCTGGTGATGCACAGGGATTATTCCTGGCTCTACACTCAGGAATTACCCCTGGTGGTGCTCAGGGGACCATATGGGATGCTGGAAATCGAACCCGGATTGGCTGCGTGCAAGGCAAACGCCCTACCCACTGTGCTATTGCTCCAGCCCCTAAATCGTGGTATTTAAAAATAAAAGTAGGTACTTTTTTATAGGTAGATTTACATTAAATTTCTTAAAGTTCCCTTAATATTGAGTACTATAAAGATGACTAAATTTTAAATTTATAAGCTACTAATTTTTTGCATACAACTCTCTTAGCTAACAATTTCTTGGGGGTATATGGGAGACATACGCTCTGCTTCTTACATAAGTAATTGCTGGTCTAGCTAACAATCCTTACCCAACTGAGCTACTAGATTAATTTTAAACGAATTTATCAATGTGATAAAAAACTTTGTATTTAATTAGAATATACACTGTCAATGTGCTAGGTTCTTACATTTGAGGAAAATGTACGTTGTGGTCTCTCCTGATAGGTGATAATAAATAGTGGGGGCAGGAGGTGGAAGAATCATCTTATTATTTGGGTCTTTTTAAAGTTTATATCAAACCACAAAATTAATTCTAAAACTAAATTTCTAATAAAACAAATGTTTGTATAGGCAATGTAGGTTAAACGACCTTTCCAAAGGAATGGTAATTTAGACTTAGGTCTAATATACCATATAAAATCTTGTGTTCTTTCATCTTTCATGACTGTTTTTAAAGAGAGAATGATTTGCTGATGTATTAAAAAAAATCACAACAGGGGGCAGAGAGATAGCATAGCTGCTAAAGCACTTTCCTTGCACATGACAACCCAGGTTTGAACCTGAACTAGGTTTGAACCTAGCACCAGTTGGCCTCGAGTCCTGCCAGGAGTGATTCCTGAGTGTATTCAGGAGTAAGCCCTGAGCACTGCCAGGTATAGCTCCAACCACCTCGTGCACCCCCCTCCCCCCATCACAATAGTTTATCTAGTAATATTCTCAGTTTAAAAAATAATAAACCATTTCAAGTCTGAAAATTCATCACATGAATGTATCATTTTTATAATGGGCAATTTGAAAGATGCCTATTATGATAAACTTACTATGGCAATCATTTCATATGTTATTATGTATCATTATACTGAAACACCTAAAGAAAATACAATGTTACATGTGTCAATTACAATTCAATTTGTTTATATTTTTTGTTTGGAGCCATACCAGTGGTGCTCAAGGCTTACACCTACACTAACTAGCATACCACAAGCAATAATATTTTTCTATTTGTGATGAAACTTTAAAAGATTTAGTCTGGTAGCATCTTTCAAATTTCACTAGTCATCATTCCGCTTGTCATATTTACAGATCTGATTTATAACCAAGAGTTTGTACATTTTGACAAGCTTCACCTTTTTTTTTTTTTGCTTTTTGTGTCACACCCAGCGATGCTCAGGGGTTCCTTCTGGCTTTGCACTCAGGAATTACTCCTTGCAGTGCTCGGAGGACCATAGGGGATGCAGAGAAATAGAACCCAAGTTGGCAGCATGCAAGGCAAATGCCCTACCCTTTGTGCTATCAGTTCAGCCCTGACCTTCACCTATTTCATCTACCCCACACTGGCAACTGGCAATCTGTTTTCTGTAACTGAGGTAGTTCTTATGTTTGAAACTTTACATATGGGATTACATGGTATTTGATCATTTTGCTTAGTTTAAATGTCCACAGTTCACTCCGAAAGGAACAGCAGAATTTAATTTTTATGGTAACTTTTAACTGCATGTATACTTTACTTTTTCATTCATTTATTAATAGAACTTAGGTAGTTTTCATGCTTTGACTATAGTAAATAAGTTTGCCATGACTATAGGGGTATGGTTCTTTCTAAGTATTTATATCAGTAAAATCAACATATATTTATACATCAAGTTTATTATGGAAGATCCAATTCAATCTTTTACCAAATACAGTTGATGCTATTTGATACTGCTTTGCTCATCTTGTTTCCAGATCAGAAACCACTTACTGGTCTTTCAATCTAAAAAGTTCACTTTATTTATCTGGTTTCTTTATATACTATATGAATGAAGTGATATAGGTCTTCTTTCTTCATATAATTCACTAAGCTCCAGGTTTAACCACATTTCTGCAAATGAGTTTCATCCTTTTTCCTTTAAAATGCTGAGTACAAATATTCCATTGTATGTAGACATCATCTTCTTTAAAATACTGGTTTTATGTACCATCATTCCCCTGGCCTTGGTGGACATCTTTCTATGCCCTTAAGCTTCATATAAATATCATACATAAATGAAATTATTATCTACAATTTGCTTTCTTTGCTCACCATCCTCTTTAAATAATTGGTTTGCATTATGGAATTTCAGGGGCTTATCTTCACTGCTCTTAATGCAGTTCTTAACACTCCCTCCCCAAAGTTCCAGTGCCATCCCATCACCTGATAGGTCCATATCATCACCTCATACCTGCTCCCCTGGTAAGCACCATAATGTTCACGGTTTCTATTTTTTGTTTACTGGTTCCACTGCTTTAGAATTCATGTTCCACATGAGGGAAATTATTCAATGCATCTTTTATTACCTTTTTTCCCTCCACTTAGCACAAACACCTCAAGAGCTTCACATTTTTTAACCCAAGGGCACAAAACAGGATCTTAAACAGCAGAATAGTATTCCATTGATATATGTATACACATACATTTACATATGTGTATATATGTCAATGGAATACTACTGTGCTGTTTATGTGTGTGTATATACATACATACATACACCAGGGCGGTTTGTTTGTTTTTTTAACTTAGCTGTCTTTTATGGGCATTTAGATTGGTTCCCAGTTTGGACTACTGCGAATAATGCTGCTAGGGAAGAGGGGTGCAATTTTATTTTTGAATTAGTGTTTTCATATTTATCCAATAAAATACGGAAAAGTGATACTGCTGGATTTTATAGAATTTTCATTCTTCTTACTCTTTTCTTCTTTTTCAGGGGGAAGGGTTCACACCCAACTGTATAGAGATGAAGCCCAGGTTGGTTGCATGCAAAACAAATAATGCCACCCATGGTATTATTTTTCACCACCCTATTCGTAATTTTCTAAAGAATCTCCCATGCCATTTTCCAGAGAGATTGCATCAGTATTCCCACCTGACAAAGCAATTGCATGTGCATTACTTAAAACTCTGTATCAGGTAAATCACTTATCTGTTTCATTAAGGTCTTTTTCTGGGATCTTATTTTGTTTGACTCTGTTGTTTTCATGGGTTAGGTAACAGGCACATATTAAAGCCAATTTCCAGGATGTATAATACTTGCTTATTTTATTAAGTTTTTCCTCACTTAATACATTCAACATTGTAAAGGTAGTAGTATAGACACTTGTAAACCTGTTTGTGTTCAGTGTCAGAACTGGGAATTACAAATACCTGGGTGACAGACACCATGCCTTTAGAGTTGTCCTATTACAGATGTGGAGAAATAAAAAATGAAAGGCACTTCTATTGCTGATCATAACCCAAAAATAAATTAGTGATTAGAGTGGTAACTGTCCCATAGGTGCTCACACAAATCCAGTATAAGGAGATAAAAGGATATTCTAGAAACATTACGGAAAGAATATGAATATAGTGAGAATTGAAAAAAAATCTATTATTGTATAAATTACAGCTATATTTGTATAAGAAAGTATTAGAGAAGAGGGAAAACATCCTTAAAGTGTAATAACATAATAAAAAAAAACCCAACAGTTTTGAAACGGAAGTGTTTTCAAGGAAAAATTCAATTACATCTTTTAATGAATTAGAATCTAAAAGTCACTTAAAAAAAAATGTGCCAGGGATCAAACCACATTTCAAGGTAAAAGCTCTACCACTAAGCTTTTTCTCCAGCCCCTGGTTTTATTAAAATTTGAGAAAAGCTTGGATTATTTCAAGTCATTACAACTGAAAAATGCAAATGTCAAATTCTTAGATTTATATATTTGATTTTCTTACAAAAATAACTTCAGTTGATATGGCAGTTCTTCCATAAAAAAGTGGTTTTTGAATAAACTAAAGTATCATTTGGAATATTTATAGTATGGAATAACTATAGTATCATTTGAACTATTGTGATACAAATTTGCAGTTATTTTGCCTACATGAATTATACAGAGATTAGACACGAGTGAAAAATCACAACCATGAAGATAAAAGACAAAGATATATAAAGGATATACATTAAAACAGAATGTCTAGAGGGCAAAAATATGAATATCATAAAGATGATTCAGAAATCAATCATTATCCCAGGAAAACTTTTATGAAAGCAATTCAGGAAATATATGAATGCATAAACCTTTAAAATACAGAATGCTAAATTCTCAATGTATTTGGTATACAATGCCCAATTAATTGGTATAAACATCTTTTTTCCCTTAGTTATTTCTGGAAGCTGTAGAAATCTGTAAAATTTATTTATTGTTGCACACTTTTTAATTGTAAAAAAATTAAAAATAAATTTTCAACCTTTGAAAAGAAAAATGGGATCTTTTCACAATGATTAATATGAAAACAAGATTATCTGTTAATTTTGCCACATTATATGTTTAAAAAAATGAAATGAATGGCAAGAGAATTATAGACATTTCTTTTCTGAAACAGGTGACTTAAAACTAAGCTAGCTTTTCTCACGCCAGCTACAAAATGTAAAAACACTGAAGATCTTTTTGTACTTCCTAGACATGCATGCCAGCCAGTCTAATCATTTCCAGGGGTCAGCAATCAATGGTCCATGGACTAAATTTGGCTTATAGCCATTCTCTGTATAGCCCTGAGCTAAGAAGGGCTGTAAACAAAACAGAATTAAGACTATGCCAGAAACAAAATAAAATATTTATGATCTCACCTTTTACAGAAAAGTATACAGACCCTTCATTATAGCAACGGTGTACAGAACTCAAACAGTGCAAGTAAAGTCCAAGATAATGTTCATTTATTCTTATCAAGAATGAAGAAACACTCTAAAGATATCTTCTGATGTAATTTGTGAGGATTTCTTTTTAATTTTCTCTTCATCCTTAACATCATTAAAGTTCATCCTATAATAATGTAAGTTATTGAAAGAGACATGAGTTTATAATATTAAAAGAAAAGTAATAAAAATACAAATTTTACCTTCGAATATAATTATAGAATTGCAAATTATATGTGTGTTGCCTAACTATGATAATGGAAAAAAAACCCTTCCAGTTCTTTTTTTTTTTTGCTTTTTGGGTCACACCTGGCAATGCACAGGGGTTACTCCTGGCTCACGCACTCAGGAATTACTCCTGGCAGTGCTTGGGGGACCATGGGAATCGAACGTGGATCGGCTGCGTGCAAGGCAAACGCCCAACCTGCTGTGCTATTGCTCCAGCCCCCAAATACCTTACAGTTCTTATATTTCCATCCACGGTAGATACTAATCAATTTTACAAACTGTCAAAGTCTGTCTTTAGTAAAACAATTTTACTTCAGAAATCTTTATGACTAATAATTTTGTTTCAGAGATAAGATTAATTTTTGAAGTAAACATCTTGATAATACTAATACCGTCAAAATACAGGAAAGCACTGTGTTCACTTAAACCAAGACCTGTAATTATTTCTTTCCATTTTATACTGGGGTAGGCAGTTCTATTATGGCTCTGTAAAGTCAGATCTTTAGCCCACACCAGAGACTAGGCTCTTCATTTGTCTCTTATCTTTAAAGAAAGAGAATCCAAGAAACCTTGTATGTAAGCATATTAATTTTCCACTCAGAAAACATTCCAGCATTTAAAATCTATTTCTAAGGATGACCTAGAAGCATACTGATTTATAAGAAGGAAAAAAATAAATGGCCTCCTGAAGTCTATCAGGAGAGAGGTGTATATTTCTCTATAGATGGCAAGTTCAAAGAAGGGCCAAGATGAATATGGATTCTAACACACTCTATTAAGAACAGAAGTCAGTAGGCTATCCAAAATGTGGTATGATTTTCCAGTGCATTTATTTCTAAGGAGTTAATGCTTCTTAATATAACTGAGAAGAATTTAATTTATGGCCATAGTCACTTTGAAAAAAATTGGGTGGGCTATACACTTGGCTCTATGTTCAAAGGTCATAGCTGATTGTGCTTGGGGTCCACACTGGATTTGAACCACTGTTGCAGCTGTAACTGTGTCTTAACCTCTGCACTACTTCAGGTCCATGGTCATTTGCTTTCTGTTGAATGTTTTACTTGTCTGAATTTTGCTGTCTACTGGATATACTCGCTGTCACCTTTGTCTAAAGGGAAAATTTCCAACCACTTTACCTATTTTTTTATGTTTTATATTAATTGATACAAGTAAAAATTCAAGTGTTTACCAAAATCAGCTCAGATTTAGTCCTTACCTTATTTCTCTGTTCATGATTTTGAAGATTTTCCAATTTTTCATTTATTAAGGCAGCAATTTCTTTTGCATCTCTGTTATCTATATGCTCTCCCCAAATATTTCTCTAAAACAAAAAACTCTTATTAAAGTATTAGTTTAGTTTTGCTTTGGAGCCATACCCAGCACTGCTCAGAGCACACTCCTGGCTCTGTGCTCAGGGATCACTCTTGGTAGACTCTGGAGACCATTTGGGGTGCTAGGGATCAATCCCAGATCAGCCAGGTGCAAGGCAAATGCCCTACCCACTGTACTGTCACTTGGCTCCAAGTCTTAGTATGTATGTATATGTGTATTTATTTGCTTTTGCTTGTTGGGTTACACCTGGTGATGCTCAAAGTTTACTCCTGGCTTTGCGCTCAGGAATCACTCCTGGTGGTGCTCGGGGGTCCATATGGGTGCTGGGAATCAAACCTGGGTCAGCCGCGTGCAGAGCAAACGCCCTACCCACTGCTATCACTGCAGCCCCCAAGTCTTAAAGTGTTTAAAACTCATATTTCTTCAAGGGAGTGAGACTGCAAAAGCAAAGCTATCTCATAGTTTACCCATAATTAATACTGATGATGTTGATATGGGAACACGTAAATCAAAATAATCCCTTTAAAGAAATGCATGGCTAACTTCAATGCCATCTAAACTGTAAAAGACAAATATGCCTTTGAAACAATCATTGGTTTAGAACAAATTAAATCTTAGAATAAGTCAATGATGGAGCCAACGAACCCTAATTTTTGTTATGTAGACAGATGGTCTATAAGCCAGTGCAATCTATAAAAATGCTGAATCCCATATCTACCACCGTGATTGGACGAAAGACTGGCGCACTGACATTGCCTACGCTCAGTTGCCAAATGGTATGAACTAATACTCAAATATATACTAAGGACAAAGACCATCTGAAAAGGTTTAAGACAGTGTTTTTCATTTTTTCCCTTTCCTGGAAAAAAGTTATAAACACATACTAATTCTATAAAAGTAAATACACAACTTCACAGAAAATAAATGACCTTGAATTCTATTAGTCCATAGAAAATCACTACTAGTACTTTTGTCAGTGTCTCTAGTTTTTTCTATTTAAATGTATAGAAATTTTAAGGCAATTCAACTATTCATCAGAAAACCCTTTTCTTTTTTTTTTTTTTTTTTGCTTTTTGGGTCACACCCGGCGATGCACATGGGTTACTCCTGGCTCTGCACTCAGGAGTTACTCCTGGCGGTGCTCAGGGAACCATATGGGATGCTAGGAATCGAACCCGGGTTGGCCACGTGCAAGGCAAACGCCCTACCCGCTGTGCTATCTCTCCAGCCCCAGAAAATCCTTTTAAGAGGACTTTGGTATATTTTTAAAAAACCTGTTATATTAGGCAATTAAAAAAATCAAGATAAATGGAGAAAAAAAAACTAGAAACTGAACACATTCCTTACTTAAAATTAATGTTGGCAGTCTAAGGAAGGGCCCTGCGAGGACAGCCTGGACTTACCTTTGTGCGTTCATAGGGATAAAATCTAACAGTTGGATAGGCTCTAATACCAGCATTCTGGCATGTCTGAGAATGAGCCTGACAGTCTACTTTTCCAGCTTTTACTTTTCCTTTAATCATCTGAAACGAGAAACAAACAGTCTGGGTTCAGCTTGGCATAAATTAGTTTGGCAACCACAAAACAACATACTTTTGAATCCTTTTACATTTAAAGATATGTTGCCTAAAAATTTTGAACATTCACATAAGACTGCTTCTGAATTTTTTTCAATGTAAATTTTAATTGGTTAAGCTTTTTTATAGGGGCTTACAGGTGGAGGTGTTGAATTCTCGACACTGATCCGTGATTTGGTGACTGAGGGTCACCTGAGTTATATCCAGCAGTGCTGTACTGGAGAAGTATGTAGTTTCAGGAATCAAACTCGGGACCACACATGCCGGGCGTGTATATTTAACTTTTTGTCATTTCCCTCCCTTTTACTATATATGTGCTCCATACTTGCTTCCAAATTCATATTACTTTTTAATCTTTTTCTGTCAAGGAAATAAATTAATTCCTTTTCACTAGCAAATGAATTCTGTCTTGTCAAGAAAATTGACAATTTTCAGCCCCAACTACCCAACTTGTTCCTGCTACCATATCACGACTTTACTGCAAAACCATCTCAGTTCTGCCGTAACCCTTCCCATCCCTGGTCTGATATGATGAAGTGTTACTCTCTTGTAGGCTGACTACCTACCTATGTTCCCTAGTCCCTCCCTGTGAGATCCATTTTTCTTCAGAGTATGTGCCCATGATCAAAAAGGACTCTTTCTCTGTGACTACACTATTCTTCTACTACCATGCTTCTGTTTTTTTGTCAAATCTGGCAGTCCTTAGGGTTCAGTGATCACTAATGGCAGCGCAAGCGGACCATATGTGGCACAGGAGATCAAACCCAGGTTGGCTGTGTGCAAGGAAAGTGCCTTCCTCACTCTTCTCTCTCTGGCCCAGAATTTTGTTTTGGGGACACATTCGGCTGTGTTAGGAATTAGTGCTGGCAGGGCTCAGGGGAACCGAATGTGATGCTGGAGATCAAAACTCGATTGGCTGTATGCAAGGCAAGTGCCTTACCCTCTGAACTAACTCCCTGGCTCTTTTAAAAGAAAGGTATTAGTGATTCTTTTACACTTTCACCCTCATCATTTACATACCATTACTACTTATACACTTAATAATGACATTTCTTCAAAATGAGAGATTTCTCTTTTCTTAATGATTACCTGACATTCTATTTGTCACTTTTCTTTCTTCCCTGACCTTGTAACTTTTTTGTCATTTCCCTCCCCATCCTCCCCAGGTTTTACTGAGGCACGGTGATTTATACTACTATTAGTCTTGCGCACAGTATTCTAACAGCACACCCACCTGAGTGCCCACTTTCCTCCACCAGTGTCCCAAAGGCCCCTAACAGCCCCCCCCCCCCCCCCCCCAGCTCAGTTCTGTGGACCAACTCCATTTTTGCTGCCTCTGGTCATTTGTTATTCCCTGACCATGCTTCTTTACATCCCATGAGATCCTTCCGTATCTGCCCCTCTCCTCTCAGCATGATACCCTCTAGTTCCATCGATACAGTGGGAAATGGCATGATTCCATCTTTTCCTATAGCTGAGTTCTTCCTCATTTCTCTTAGGATAAGAATCAATTAAAAGATCACTGCTGCCTCTAGTGGATGACTCCAGCAAAGTTCTATGTACAAGTCTTGACTCCACATTCCCTGACATAAACATGCACGGAAAGTCAGAAAAATCTAAAACTGTTATTTTAATTATGTTGACATATTTTCAATTACCTAGAGGAAGGCTTCAAATTGATTTTGGGGCTCTAAATTTCTTTGGCTTTGTGACCTACTGATCCAGTGTAATCCTTATACAATATAAAAAGGATCCTGCGTAACCAACAGTTTGTGTCTAGTGCTTAGAGCATATTCGATATTATGAAAGTACTCAGGAAGAGTCTACAATGAACAGCATGGGAGAAAAGGGTCAAACCTCCTTATCTACCGAGATTCCACTTTTCCCACTGCCCATTGTCTTTATCTTCTGGAATACTGGATACAGTGATCCCTGAACATCCCCCCCCCACCCCACGTCCTTGCATCTTGACAAATTATCATCTTCTATACTTAAGCATGATCTTTATCCAACCTTTTAAAGTATGAAACTCTTAGTTATACTGTAATTATCTAGTGTCTCACTAATAAAAACAAAACAAAAAACCCAACTTTTAAGTGGAGCCTCTTTAATCCTGACATTAACATTCTTCTTTCCACATCTTTGATTCTAACTTCACCAACAAGGTGATTTGCTGTTTTGTAATACGTTATCTACTTGCATTTAATCACTTGATTGAATCCTAAAGAAATGGAACTTTTTTTGTAGCCCCAGTATTTAGCATACTTTCCACCTAGTTCTCTTAACAGTTAAATTATCTTTTTCTTATAAAATGTATAACTAAATCAAATTTTCATAAGCATGAGAATAAGTAAAACAAATTTTTAAAGTTTAAGGGGAGGAACAGGAGAACAAGCTGTATTTTATTATATTTTAGTTTTTAGGCCACATCTGGCAGTACTCAGGGGTTACTCCTGGCTCTGCACTCAGAAATTATTCTTGGTGGTGTTCGATGGACCAGCCTTACGGGATGCCAGGGGCTGATCCCAGGTCGCCGACATGCAAAGCAAATACCCTATCCACTTTGATCCTGAAGTAAAAATATTTTTAAAGGATTAGGTAAATAATTTAAGGAACAAAAATCTAACCAGTAAGTGTAAAAATGTGTAACTTCTTAATTGAAGGACCAGTCAATACCAAATAATTTCCCAGGCTCATAGGAGCTTTGACATCTATCTGCCACAAAATTCCCACGGTTTAGGGTTAAGGATGCTCAGCTTTTGTTGCAACGCGACTCTGGTACTGATATTCTCATTCCAAGGTAAGACAGCAGCTCAGACATTAACAACACAGATTGCAGAAACACTAAAAATACAAGAGTGCATTCAGTTTTTATGTCCAATTAAATTTTACTAGATATAATGAAGACACCGTAGATGTAATGATATATTAGAAATGTTATTTCGCCCTCATAATGTTTTTTTTTTGTTTGTTTTGGGCTACACCAGACAGTGCTCAAGGCTACTCTGGTTATTTGCTCAGGGGGTTTGAGGTGTGTTCGAGGGACCATCTGAGTGCTGGACCCAGGTCAGCGGCATGCAAGGCAAGCACCCTACCTGCTCCAGCTCAATGTTTGTGTTCTTATAAAGGAGATATGATTTCTAAAAAAGCAGCATGGTGTATAACTACATTCATGGAGTACAGGACATTAAGGTGACACCTCACCTGCAAGAGATTACCTGAGGAGGGCAGAATACCACCAAGGGAACTAGCTGGATAAGAAGCAGAAAAACAAATGAAAAAAATGAAGAAAAGATACTTCAGAAGAAGAAACAGGATGCATAGAGGCGTACTTGTGCAGAGAATTAATAGAATATTTTGTTGTGCCTGAGCTATCAAGAGTGGAGTAGGGGATAAATGATGAAGGTAAAAAAGGACCGATGGTCAAGGATGTGTGTCCAGAAATTCAGTTAACAAGAGTTAAGAGGAGGGAATATTTTAGAGCAATAGATAGAGCAAAATGAAAGAAGGCAAATTCTAACAATATAAGGCTATTTAAAAAGGCAAATATGGTACATGAGAGTGTGACACTGAGGGCCTGAGCAAATAGACTAGCAAAGGAGACAGAACACATTTAAAGGCATTAACTAATAGGATCTATTTAGTGACTGTCTGTGGCATCAGGATAATGGTAGTTTGGGAATGAAAGAAGTAGAAGAAATAAAGTTTCTACCTCTATGGTTAGACAGATGATGTTATCAAATCAGAGAATATGTTACCTAAAAAACTTTAATAAAGGAGCAGACTATAGATATAGAAATGTAGTTTGTTTTTAAAAGTCAGGAAAAACTTAAAAGATATAGGCATTAAAATGAGTTGTTTTAACATAACATGCACGTGACCACAATTTAAGTAGATAGACAATACTTACCCTAGCTAGTAGCTCAAATTCTGGAGCAAAATTCTGGCAAGGTCCACACCACGGAGCATAAAAATCAATCACCCAGTGGTTTTTCCCTTGTAAAACTTTTTCATTGAAAGTCTGAGGTGTTAAATCTACTGATGCTTGAGGTAAAAATCTGTAGTGAGAACAAATTTATTACACAAAGTCAAATTAAACACTAAGATGTAATACTGCAATACTTTCTAAGAAACAATAACTTCAAAGAAAAACAATCTAGTATATCCAGGCCCGATCTAAGTATTTGACCCTTAATTCATAACAAATTTAACTATAAACACAAAATTAAGGTAAATAGCATTACAATGACACATATTACTCACCCGAGACCCCAGACTCTTAGGGAGTAAGCGTCTCTATTCCAACCATTGTAGCTACTAAAAGAAAAAAAATATATATATGAATTGAAAAACAGCATTTTCTATTATGTTCAAAGACTATGTAGCAATTTTAATGATTTTAGTCACTGACTTCAAATAACATCATCTGTAGCTGCAATTATTGCTTGATCCTCAAACTTTTTTTTTTTTAATTAGTGAAACACCATGAGGTACAGTTGTAGACTTACAAACTTTTGTGCTTGGGTTTCAGTTGTACAATGATCAAGTACCCATCCCTCTACCAGTGCCCTTTCTTCACCACCAATGATCCCAGTACCCTTCCAAACCCCATTCCATCCCCCCACCGACCCCACCTCTGTGGCAAGGCATTCCATTTTGCTCACTCTTTCCTTTAGGGTATTGTAGTTCGCAATAGAGGTATTGAGTGCTATCGTGTTTGGTCTATAATCTACTTGCAGCGTGCATCTCAAACAAACTTTTTTTAAATTCTTAATAATTTCTGTATTCTAGACCAGAAGTATCCCAACTCTGTCTTATCAATTTTTAGGAAAACATTTTTTTTCACTTGTGCTAATCCCCAGAAATCTACTTTCTTTATGCAAACCAACAGAAAGCACCACCCAGTTTTATTCCAGCACACAATGACAATCCCAGTGAGCATGAGGGGAGTATCACCACATTGGAAAACATTGCATTATCAGACCTGAATATACAATTTACATTCAACAGACTCATAGGGACAGCAAAACTCATGTCCAGTGCTTTAGTTTTTAGATCTTTGTTGAAGTTAATTTGTTTTGTTTTATCTTACACATAGCAGTGCTCATGATTAACTACTGGCTCTGTGCTCAGTGATCACCCTGATAGGGCTCCAAGGACTATATGGATGCTAAGATCAAACACAGGTTGGCTGTGTGCCTTCTGTACTATCTCTCTGGCTTCTTCAAGTTATTAATGTCAATTTATTAGACATTTTTAAAATCCAAGCCAAAATCCACTTCATAAATGCAGCCTTTCATGATTTCCTCACAGAATCCAAGGTTTCTGTTTGGAGTATCTGCATAATGCTTTACTGTTTGCTTTTTTAAAATTCTTGTTCAACTGCAAGTATATACACTGTACTCTGAAGTTATGGCATACTAGCATTCCCTTTATAGGTTTTTGTGTAATTATCTCCATTAATTTGATCTTAACAGTAACCTTTTTCTGTTCCAATTTTTACTGAGTCCCTGTGAAACTCTTACTGTTAATGACAGTTTCATGCATACACTGTTAATAACAACATACCAAATAACACCAAAGTATAAACTTTCTTCTCAACCAATGACCCCAGGTTCCTCTCACACATCCATTGGTCCCTCCCTTATAAGCTTTGTTCTGTAACCATTAGCCATCTGTTATTCTCTTACACTTTATGAAGATAATTGTATTAAATGTGTCAGAACCTATTTAGAACCCTGACATTGCTTATGGTACCCTGAATACTGCTAGGGGTCACTCTTAAGCTCAGAGTCAAAAATAGCCCCCAAACACTTCCATGTATGGCCCAATGTCTCCTTCCCTAAAGTTTGTATTTTTATATTTTTAATAACACATTACATTGTCTTGCATTTGAGTTTTCTACATAACCTACTATGTGGTTCAGTGGGATATCATAGAAACTGAGAAACATGAGCTCAAATCCCTATTTTAAATGTCCACACCTGAGAGATCTGGAAAAATTATTTAAGGTCTGTGAGTCAGTTTCCCAGGCTGGAGTGATACCACAGCGGGTAGGGTGTTTGCCTTTTGCGCAGCCAACCTGGCCGAGCCGGGTTCGATTCCTCCACCCCTTTTGGAGAGCCCGGCAAGCTACGAGAGTATCTCGCCCGCACGGCAAAGCCTGGCAAGCTACCCGTGGCATATTCAATATGCCAAACACAGTAACAAGTCTCACAATGGAGACATTACTGGGTCTGTTCAAGAAAATGGATGAACAACGGGAGGACAGTGACAGTGAGTCAGTTTCCTAACCTGTAATAGGAAAGAAAGGTATTAACTTTTACTTTTTGGGGTATGGGGTGAGGCCTACTGGAGATACTGTGAACAAAAAAAAAAAAATCTAGTATGTTATCTGAAGTCAAATCAGGGCATAATGTTGTCAATTCTCATCTTTTAAAACTTTTTTTCCCCTTTTTTGTATTTGTGCTTAGTGATTACTCCTGGTGGTGCTCGGGATAACATGGGATTCTGGGGATCAAACTCAGGTCAACCACAGTATGGTTTGGTCTCAGGTAAGGCAAACAACTTACCTGCTATACTATCTCTCCAACCCCTCATGTTCTTTAGTTTTGTGAAAATTAACACTATTAATTTACTTTCCATATACTGAAGTATTCATTTGCATGCTATCTTGCACATAGTAGAGTTGACATATATTTCTGGGGTTAATATTAGGAAAAAACATGGGGCTAGAGAGATAGTACACCAGGTAGGGCATTTGCCTTGGATGCGGCTGACCGGGTTTGATTCCTCTGTCCATCTCGAAGAGCATGGCAAGCTACCGAGAGTATCCTGCCCGCAGGGCAGAGCTTGGCAAGCTCCCCGTGGCGTATTCGATATGCCAAAAACAGTAACAACAAGTCTCACAATGGAGACGTTACTGGTGCCTGCTCGAGCAAATCGATGAACAACAGGAGGACAGTGCTACAGTGGACAGTGCAGAAAAAACAAGTATCAAAAAACATTCTCTAAGTAGAGAAAATACTTACTGATACTGAGAATTCTTATTTGATTTTTTGGGATAAAATCTTATCTCAGGGTATCTCCGAACTTCTTCTTGGGAACAAAAAGAATGATACTTTTGACAGTCTATACTGCCCACATTGATCAGTCCATTTAAAGTCTACAAAATAAATAAATAGATCAAAAGTGGCTAGAATAAAATTAGCTTCATTCCTATTTTACATATTTTCAGTAGAGAAACTGTGAGCCGCTTGGATTATCTGCTCACAATTTCCGCCAAATAATAGGATAAACCACAGAAACTTAATGAACTGCATATTCAATTTTAGAGTCAGGAACTTAATACAATTAAGTTTGCAAAGTAAAATATTACATTGAAAAATGATTTATTCTATCAAAATCCAGATCAATGTATTTTAAAGAATCTCTGCAATATTTCAAATGAAGACAAAGCTTGCCAGCAAGCTGATTTATACCCAAATTAAAATAAAGATAAAATAAGAATTGTATTTTTTCATTCTGGTACTTGAACTATTTCCAAGTTTTAATGTTATGTATACAGTATCTATTTGTAAGAAACCTTATTTCTCTTATTAACACTAGGTCAGTTCTTCTTTGAAGGATCAGAATACTGTTAAGAATAATACTTTTAAGCTCCTAAAAAGAAATGTTCAAAAATTTTTGTTGCCAAGAACTTACTGAGTTTGCAAAATCAGTAAATTAAGGGGATCTTTCTAATCTAGTGGAAATTTGATAAAACATGTAGGTGACACGAGAAAAATGGTAAATTTTCTAAATTACTTACATCCAGAGAAAAACAAAGTGATATGATCTAAATTAAATTAAGTGGTAATCTACTGAGTTGATCTCAGTTTCAAAATAACTGTTCAACAACCTTAGTAAATATTAAAATACACAGTTATACCCGGGCCATTCTTTTCCATTCTGGCATTAAGAGCTGACATGGATGACACCATGGTGAATAAAAATCAACCATCCAGACTTCGTGTTGTTTTCTTTCTTTAACTAGTTCATTGAAAGTGGTTGGTGTCAGGGAGATCACTGAAGGATTCATAAGATCCTAAAGAGAATATAACATCCATTAAACTTTAAAAAACTTTTAAAGTAATTCTTTGAAAACTACCAGCATGAATCTATTTAGTCAAGTTCCTGTTAGTGAATAACCAAAACTATTTTTTGGAAGGAAATCATTTTAAAAATATATAATCCCTAATTTTTAAAAAGTATGGAATTACAACTACTGGTTTTCTTAAATCAAGTTGTATTTTATTTCTATGTATCACTATCATCAACTTGGGCAAGGAAAAGAGGCAATTTTCAGGTTATGACACAAATAAGTAGATGAGACAAGAATTCTATAAACTGCCCAAATATCAACATAGGTCATGTAATTCTTTGTGGAATCTAGAAAGGCTGGAAAGGAAACAGCTTTTTGATAACTAATGAATTATTTTTCAGACACTGACAGTCCACAAATTAGTGTCAAATACTGTTTTAACAAAGTTTCAATCTAACAGGAAGCAATACTAACAAAGATGTCCACTTCACTGGGGACACAACAGAAAGCAGTATGAAACAAAAAAACTGTTACTATGGAGTAGGAAGAGAAGACTAGGACATAGAAAATGGTCATATGTGGATAAGCTACTTTTTCTTTCTTAGTAGTCCTCCGTCAATCAACTTCGACTACTAGAAAAAAGGAGATACTAATTTTTGCTGCAATATGGATGGAACTAGAGGAGAATCAGAGGGAGAAGCACAAATGCAGAACGATCTCTCTCCTAAGTGGAAATACAAAGAAGCATAGTAAAGGGATACCTGCCGAGTAATAGCACAAGACCTTGAGAATGCAACTACAGACCAGAACCTGTTAATGGGTAGGACTGGGGTGGGGGTGGGGTAGGCGGTCTTGAAACTGATGAAAAGATGCTGACACTCTGGTGCTTGTTGTGGAACTAGAAGACTGGATGCTTGGAAACTTACCTTGAATATTCAAAATTCAAAATTTAAAAAATTTAGGCACCATGATTTTATAAAGGTGTCCATAACAGTTTCAGAAATACAATGGTCCAACACCGTTCCTACCACCAGTGTCAACTTCCTGCCAGTAGTGTTCGTTCCCAGGTTCCCTCCCACCTCTCTAGCCTGTCTCCTTAATATGAACATTTTTAAGTTTAAATACTGTAGGTTTGGGTCAAATGTGCATATAGTACTGTTAACTCAGTAGTTTAGACATATATAAACATACTTTTACACCACACCAAGGTGTATCTAGAGCCCCTGACACTTCCATCAGCTCTTCTTACCTCCTCCGTTTTTCTCTTTCCCTGGCATTTTTCATTTCTAAAATCTACAGCCAAAGGTTTGCCCACTTTTGAGAGGTTGCATTCTCTTGTCATGTTGTTATATATACCACAGGTAACTGAAATCATCTGGTATTTGTCCTTCTAACTTAACACGATACCCTCCAGTTCCATCCAAGTTGCAGCACATTTCATGATTTCATCAATCCTTCTAGTGGTTTAGTATTTCATTTATATACCATAATTATTCACTCATCTCTCACTGGACATCTGGGTTGATTCCTCGCTGTTACTAAGTGCTGCAATGGATAATGGTGTGCCTATGTCCTTCTGAATGATTTTGTGTCCTGAGGGTGTAGATATCAAGAAGTGGAATTGTTGGGTCAAATGGAAGCTCTGCTTTTTTTTTTTTTTAGTAATCTCCATAGTATTTTCCACAGGGAGTGACTGAATCTGTACTATTAACAGTGTGTTAAATCACGGTGCTTCACTGTGTAAAAGAAAGAAGGTAGGTATAGAGCACTACTGTGCCAGTAACAGCAGGATCAGCACAGCTCCAGGCTTGAAGAAACCACGGTGGAGAAGGGCCTCTCTTAGTTCCTAGCCAACACTGGGTTCCCTCCAGCCTCAACCATAAGGAACCGACACTACGACAGTGGTGGACATCTTCGATACTTGATGGAGCAGCAGAAATTTTGTACACATAAGCATGAGTATAAACACTGTTGTTAAAGAAAAACGACTGTAAAAATCCCAGAATCAAAACCAAAAGCATCTGTAGTGATTTTTATTAAATAAGAAAAGAAGGTCACAAAGCTTCTTGTGAAAGCCTAACTTCATGTTCTCACTAAATAAAAATATCCACTTAGTTGGAGTAAGAAAACAGACCAACTTTGATTTAATTCTGAGAAAATAATTGATATCAAAAATTTTAAAAATTTCATTTCTAGTCAGAAAATAGTATTTTGGCATGAATACACTTTACTAGTGAACAGTAAATACTCATACAAAGTATAATATAAACAGACTTATAGTTTCAGCTTTAATTCAAAGTACCTCTATGAACTCTAAGATCTGTTCAGCAGAGTGATGTCCCTCATATTCATGAATGCTGGACTGGTTGAAAACCACTGTTGTTGGATAAGCTTGAATGTTATACTGTTAGGAATGAGAATACAAATCAGGATCAATACATTTCACCTGTATAAATATTTTAACCAGCTTTGCCCTTATTTTAAATAATAAAAAATAATTACTAATGACAGTAAAATTTTAGGCTGGCAAAATTTAGCAAAGGAAATAGATTCATAGTTGTGATGAGTAACTGAGTCTTACATAGTTATTTACATCAGCCATAAAATTAAAAGACCCTGAAACACTGAGAAGTAAACAAATGATGATGTTGGTCCCTTTTCACTTTCTTGAACTAGGGTGGGAAAGCTTTAAGAGTGAACTAATGGGACCACTCTGATAGCACAGCAGGTAGGACGTGTGCCTGCCTTGCATGTGACTAACCTGGGTTCAATCCCGGGCATCCCATATGGTCCACCTGTGCACCACCAGGAGCAATACCTGAGCATCACCGGGTGTGATGCCCCCGCAAAAAGTATAAAAAAGAGTGGACTAATTTCTCGTTTGATTTCTTTAAAAAACCTTAATACTTGGATTTCTCTAAAAGTGGAAAAACATTAAATTAACACTATAAACATGTTTTTGGTTAAGGATCGTAATATTCTTATGAACATAGTTGCTTTTTGTTCAAGATGGCTTTCATTATGATAGAAATGCTGTAATTTCCTCAGAACTAACATGAACACTAGTCAGGAAGTTCAAGTGCATATATATATTAAAGCTATAGATCTGCTATAGCTAAACTTGGCATAATTAAAGCAGACAAGCACTTGTTAGTAAACTAGGAATTCTGACTAAAAATAAAATTCTGAAAACAAAAATGTAAGACTGATCTAACCTTCATAAAATATGCAGATTCAACTAAGTCATTCGATTAACAAAATATTTATATACAACGTTTACCATATGTCAAGCATCTCCTCAGCAATTACACATGTAGTTTCTCATCTTTTCCTCACAATTCTAAATCAGAAGCTAAAACTAACAAGTCAATGTTACAGATGAAAAAAATCTGAGGTACTGAGGGGTAATGTGGCTTGGACAAGGTTAACTAGTTAGTAAGTAGTGAACCCAAGTGAATCTGATACCATACCTTAGTTTTTTTATTTTTGCTTTTTAAATCACACCCAGCGATGCACAGCGGTTACTCCTGGTGGTGCTCAGGGGACCATATGAGAGGCTGGGAACTGAACCCGGGTCGGCCGCGTGCAGGGCAAACACCTACCCACTGTGCTATGGCTCCAGCTCCTGATACCATACCTTTGAATCTTACTGTTTTACTGAGTTACTACTTATAGCAGTGTTTCTCAGTGGGGCTATAGAATGCCCCCAAATATTCCAAGGGATCACAGTAAAAATTATGTAAATGAGGGGCCATTGGGGGCCTAGGAAGTAACAAAGTCAGAAGGGGTCACAGTTGAAAAAAGGTCGAGAAATACTAACAGGATACAAAATGCATTAAATAAAATGCATAGAAACTAGAGGACTTAATATTAATTACTGCTTATCAAGCTATTTTTGCTTAGCATCCTTTCAAAGACACATAGCCACTCAAAATGAAAGGCCGGTTTTCATTCTTAACATGTTGACAATGGTGCTGCAATATGTGACAATTAAGACATTAAGTTGAGTCTCCTGTGGTATACACTGGCATCTTCAATTTTATTTTTAATAAAAATTTCAAACACAGGGGACTAGAGAGAGTGCAGAGGTAAGACACTTGCCTTGCATAAGACTAACTGGTTTGAGCCCCAGAGCAGCATACAGTACCCCAAGTACTGCCAGAAATGATCTTGAGCATCACCAGGTATGGTCCCAGACCGCAGCCCCACAATTATTTTCCAAACATAACAGAAAGATGACATAATACAACAAACATCCACATCCCTCCCTTTTATAATTAACTTTTTTTCCCTCACTGACTTTGTAAGTTTTATCTCATTTCCCTTGCTTCCTGCTAATAGGAACAACGATACTGAAAATAATTGTGTCCCATCCTGCCCTCTAAAATTCTTTCTCACGTGTATGCACATGTATTGCTAACAGTATACTGTAATGTTTGAGCTTTAATTTTTTTCTGAGTTTCAGCACATTCTATGTTATTCTGCAACTTGCTTTTCCCATTTTCCACTGTAAGGTTTATTCATGTTTAAGGGCAGATCAAGGTTTAAATGTTCTAATGTATTCTACTGTGTAACTGGGTAATTTATCCTTAAACAATGCAGGGGCTTGCCTGTGTAGTCAAAATTTAAATATAACTTACAGTCAAGTCTTCTATTGGGTTGGGGGTCTATGTCCACGGAATCAACCAAGAGACATTTGTGCTTGTTAGATTCATTATAATGTAGAACCCACCAAGGTGAAAAAGAAAAGGGCTTATTAACAAACTTGAGCAGTTCAAGCCCACTGCTATTCAACAGGCAAATGTACTGGCTCTTGTCAAATTTCTATGCTTGCTCTTGGCATTTATAAGTATTGTACTTTGATGGGTGGGGTACAGTAGGACTAATGCGATATAGTTTCTTGATTAAGTGAAGTTGAATATTTCACATATATTAGATTTTCACTTTTATGAGATGTTTGTCAACATTATTTCTGTGGAGATGGACAGATAGTTCTGCAGGAAAGGCACTTGCCTTGCTAGCAGTGGACCTGGTTTCAATCCCTGGCACCACCAATGGTCTCACGGAGCCCTCCTGGAATAATCGCTGAGCACAGAGCCAGGGCGAGGATTAAGCCCTGAAGTCCACTAGGTATGGCCCAAAAGTCAACCCCCCCACCCCCGATGATTTGTAGGCTTCATGAACATGGAACTACTCTAAGTGCAGATGTATAGTTATTGATTGTAACAAGATCTCTGTTTTACAAAAACATCATGAACATGGAACTGTCAATTATATGGGCTACAAATCGTTGTTTAACTTTTAGTGCCTCTCTCTTTGGCAATTAAAATTTAACAATACCATAAAGTTCCATCCTACAATAATAAAATGTCTTAGTTATGCTTAATCCATCCTCCCCCACACTGTTCAAATGTGAGGGTCCAAGGTTTTGGTGCTACTCAAACTGAAGACACGCCAGGGCCGTACCTGGCAGTACTTGGGGGCCTCCAGGATTAATTCTTGGGGTGATAAAGGGACAGAGGCATGATCATGGGGTTCCAGGCATAGAACTGGGCTTGACCTCATGTCAGCCATGTATTTTATCACCTATTTTCCTGAGACATATTTATATTCAACCACAAATACTGTCTATTCATGTTTTAATACAATCATAATTGCCTAACATTTTGATGAAAAGATTTAAATATTTTGTTACTACTCTAAGTGTAGATGTGTAGTTATTGTTAACAAGATCTCTATTTTACAAAAACGTTAAACGAAAATGACATTTTATATTTTGTCTTACCATATTACAGAGTCCTTCATGAATTGTACAATCCAAGGTGCCAAACTTAAGCTGACCGTAAAGATGTTTTGATGCTTTTCGTAACTCAGGTAATAGAGCTCGACATGGTGGACACCACTATCAAAGAGAAAACAATGACACAAAATTAAAAAAAAAAATCTTGCAGCAAGGAATAGACTAAGTGAAAGAAACCATACCCAGTTGCAAATTATAAACTTACTTCTTGGAGGGAAGACTATATTAGCATACTCTTAGAAGTAGTGAGTCACAGTAGCTAAAAATTCTAGAAACTCATGATTCATGGTTATCTAGATGGTGTCTTTTAGCTTGGACAAGAGAACATTTAATTATACTGAAATATTTTTGTTTTTCTTTTTGGGTCACACCCAGCGATTCACCGGGGTTACTCCTGGCTCTGCACTCAGGAATTACTCCTGGCAGTGCTTGGGGGACCATATGGGATGCTGGGAATCGAATCTGGGTCGGCCGCGTGCAAGGCAAGCGCCCTACCAAGCGCTGTGCTATCACTCCAGCCCCTGAAATTTGAGAGAGAAAAATAACTTACAGGAGCAAAAAAATCAACAAGCCATGGTTCTTTTTCATTGGCAGGAAAATTTTGAGGTCCAAGTGTAGTAACATGAGAATTAACACTTTCTTTGGCAAAGGCAAGTATATCATACAGAATCTTCTTTCCTGTGCAATTAAGGAAGAAAATTAGAATTTAGGAGCATTTCCAAGTTTTTATGCTTAACATAGTAAAAAAGCTGAACTTCTAAATAAACTTGTTCAGTGAAGTTTCAGTGTTCTGTATGCCACTCACACACATTGGTTGATTCTGCCTTCCAATCTTCCTGCCCTTTAGCTTCTTGTTAAAATGAAGAAAATGAGAAGACCTCTTTGAAATTACTTTCAATGTACCCACATAAGATTTCCCAGAGTGGTTCTTGCCTTCTATCTATCTATGATAAATAACAGTATCATAAAGCGATTTCTTACCATTTCTAGTCCCAATTTGGGATATTGCCTTAAATTTAGTTTTACTCTTAAATGTACTCCACTAGCCAATAAATTTTGGCGTTTCTGCCCAATTTTCCTTAAACAGTGAATGCAGCATCGACTGCCATAGATAGGTTACTCATAAAAACACAAACCTAATCCCACTGTCCCCTTATTTTAAGGTCTCTGGTGATTTGCTGCTGCCTAAATAATTCTCAATCAGCAACCCAAGGGATTTTTCCATTGGCTTTAACTTACTATAACAAGAACTTATTTTGTGCCAGACATTGTTTTACATGCCATATGGCATTCAAAAAAAAGACAGAATCCTATTTAAGGAGCTCAGTCTCGTAGGAAAGACTCTATCTATAAGGATTTAAATACAGTAAGACATGCTACACATTCCTTTTTTGCTTACTCTTCAGCCACTGCTTGAATCCTTCATCCATCCCTTGCAAATGGGCCCTAATTCTGATTCCCTCTGTTTTATTTTCTAGATCTCGATTTTTCTCTATATCCATTCTAACCTAATTCTCACCCAAAGTTTCATTTATCATTACTATATAACTATATGTAGTTTATTTCTAGCACTTCTCCTGAGATGCAGGCACACACACACACACACACACACACTAAAAAAGTATATATGTGTGTGTGCATATATATCTATAGATCTATATAGATGTATGTAGATAGATCTATATGTATATATATAAAACTGAACTGGGTTGTTTTATTTTTTAAATGTAGGGGTACTGCTGACTGTAGTGGGCATGAACTACACATTACATTTTTTAAAAGAAATTTTAAACTGAATATCCATGAGACAGACCATCACAAAGCCGTTCATAATTGGGTTTGTCACACAATGATTCATTACCCATCCCTCCACCAGTGTATATTTTCCACCACCAATGTCACCTGTTTCTCTACCACAATCCCACAATCCCCCACCAGTCCACTCCAGTCTACCTCTACGAGGGGCACTTTCCTTCTTTCTCCTTTTCCTTTTGTGCATTATGGTTTGTAATACAGGTACTAAGATGTGATCGTGTTTGTTCAGGGCATTCGGTATTTTTATTGGGACAGTATCGCCGGAGTAGCTTTTTAACTAGGCGGCACTTTTGGGGTGTTGATGTGACTGCCGAGTCTTCCGGAAGTACACGGAAGTAGTGACGATTTTGAATTGTGGAAACAAGCGGCCGCTGGGGGCTTGGCTTGGCACAGGCACCAGGCTGACCTGCCCCAACTCCTATCTACCCTGGTCTGTTCAGCTTTGCATGGGTCCGAGATTAACTTCAGCTTTTGATCTCTTTCAAGATTTATTTATGGGTCGCTGAAGCAAGGTCCACAGCAAAGCTTACATGGTGGTACTGGAGTTGGTTCATGGGGGAGACTGCCAGTGCTTCCAGGAGTATTGGGAAGTGGGGGGAGGTAGCCCATCCCAACTCCAAGAAACCCTGGAGATTTCAGTCACAAAACTCGCATACCAGAATTTTCAGCAGATTATATCTTGGTAAGATCTGTCCTGAGACGGCAGAATCAAGCTGGGGGTATGGCGGCAAGTTTGGATTGTGGAACCAAGTGGCTGCCAGGGACTTGACCCGCCGAACTGGGGTTGTTTTCTCCTCTCTTAAGTTCTCTTCCACTGACTAGTGATATAATGATCAGCAATGCTAGTCAATTCACCAAGTGAAAAAAACCTGAGCTATCCTCTTACTCTCCTACATCGTAAGTATACAGGTATGATTTTCTATTATTGCTGCCACACACAGTATGCTAAGGGTTTACTCCCGGCTCTGTGCTCAGGCACCGTAAGTGGTGCCAGGGACTGAACCCAGGTTGGGAGTATGCAAGCAAGGCAAACACCTAAACCACTGTACTCTTCTCTGGCCCCTATTCTTGATATTCTAAATAATATGTTCACTACTCTTCATCCACATTATTATTTAACTAAGACAATCATCACCTCTCATATGAATAATTGCCTTCTATTAGTTCTTGCTCCCATCCATTTTAGGCAATCACCTTCATAAAATGTCAATCTAGTTAATTCTCTGCTTTTAGTAAATGCCTCTGATTTTTCTTCAGAGGATAAACTTCAAGACCCTTTAATAAAAGATAAGAAACGTAATTTGAGGGAAATTAGAAAAACAGCACAACAGACTGGAGCATCTGGTTGCACACAGGAGGCCAGGGTTTGACCATAAGCACCAAGTAAGTGCCTCACCTCTATACTACCTCTCTGCCTTGGCTTAAACTTACCGAAAAAAGAGTTCATGCCTTGCTACTTTACTAATATTTGTGAACTAAGTGAGTGACTGTTACTCACTTAACTCCACCGTAATAGGTAAGTTGTGTTTTATTACATTTCTTTTAGGATAGGGTGTATCATGTAGCCCAAACACTAGGAACTGAAAATGTACTCTTTTGAATGTAAACTTAATGTCACAAGATAACTAAACTGTAGAAATGTAGTTATAATTTGAGGAAATAATGAAGTACTTAAGATATTAGTCTCCTGGTCTACTAGAGAAAAATCCAAAAGTATGTCTAGAAATTAAGATGCTCTATTTGCATAATATTACAGAAACTCTAGGGCTTCCTTAATTTTGCTAACTGACCAAGACCCTTAAATTACTCACTAGCCTGATATGTTAGAACTCCTACTGAAGTAAACATTGATCAAAATATTGAGTAAAAAAAATCTTAAAGAGTAAAAAAATGTGAGAAAATTAAAATAAGCATGTCTGAAGTAATATTTAAAAATCAATCTTTGAAAGTAATTTTTAAAATAATTTCCCCCCATTTCTTACCATGATGAATTTCATATTCTTTGGTTCCTTGTCCCTTGAATACTGCTAAACATGGCTGAAAAATGTAGAACTTACTACAGAAGTCTGGCGCAGATGAACAGTCAAACCTGCCAATCTGAAGAAAAAGTGCAATTTGGTGAAACAATTTCAACCATTCAATTTTTAAGTATTCATAAAAATTATCAATTCAGAAATAACAACGGTCTAAATAATAGTTCTTAAGCAGAAGGTATTGAGTTATGAAAACAAGACAAGTTTTAAATATAAAACCAAAATTCAAGTTAATTTTGAAAAGGGAAGCTGAAACCACATGAGCGAAAATTTTCAAGAAAATTGTTTTTTCAGTATAGATTTTTCAAAAAAAGATACCTCAGACTCACACAAATTAATTTGAAAAGATTTATATATGACTTTGCTCATTGTAGCACTTAATAGCCACGATATAAAACCAACCCAAATATACAACCAAAAAAGATATATGAATTATCTCCAGTGGTTAATCTTCAGATAACTTCATACTGAAATATGAAAATGTTTGATACTGTGAACAGAAAACGTGAAAGATAACACAGTGAATACATTTTGATTAAAAACTCTACATACTGCGCTGGAATCATAGTACAGTGGGTAGGGCGCGTGCCTTCCATGTGGCCAACCCAGGTTCAATCCCTGGCAACTCATATTGTTGCCCATAAAACGCCAGGAGTTAATTTCTGAGTGTAGATCGAGGAGTAACTCCTGAGTACAGATATTCATGACTACTTTTCTGATTCAAATAAATGTTCACAAATACTTGAATAGCAAAGCAGTTAGAAGAAACATTGATACATGGAATCACAGCTTAACTCCATGTCTCAATCTCCATGTATCAAGGCACAGAGTCGCCAGATGTACTAAAAGCAAAATGGAACTCTCTGCGCTAGAGAAAATTCAGTTAGCTCTAAAGAACAGAGACTTAAAGGGATAGAAAACACAAAACACAAAAGGCCTATTTCAGATTAAATAGGTTTTTAGCTAACAGAGTTAGCAAGAGACAATGGGATATTATATAAAGAAAAAGGGATCAGTGCCATAAGATATAACCAACTGAAGCTGGTGTTGATAGACCTTAAGAAAGTCTCATCAACACAAACATAGTAACTACAGAGGGCTTTAATGGCCCACTCATAGCAATGGACCAACATTTAGAAAGAAAATCTACAAAAAAAAAAAAAAAGACCTGAAATCAGATATTATGCCACTTCAAAATACCAAAACACATTCTTTGCAAGAACTCACAAAACTCTTAAATTAAGCCTAGTTTCAGGATACAAAATTAGTGTATTTAAAAAATCTGTTAGGTTTCTGCATAAAAATAATATAAAATAAACCAGAAATGCAATCCCATTTGCAATGCTATTAAAAAGGTTCAAATGCCTTGGAGCAAATTTAACCAAAGAAGTATAATATATGTTTGCTGAAGACTAGAAGACACTATTTTAAGAAACAGAAAGCACAAAGAGATGTTAACATATTCCATGCTTATAGACTGGAAGAATTAACATTGTAAAAATACCTTGGTTACCTAAAGCAACATACATATAACTTAATTAAAGCAATAATATAAAAATTTCAGAGGTATTTTCCAAAGAACTAGAATTTTGAAAAATAATAATTTGGAACTACAAAATACCGCAGATAAAAAAATTGAGAAAAAAATTTAAACTATAAATTATACTACGAAGTGATAGTAATTGAAATAGCATAGTGGTGACAAAAACAGACACACAAGTTTATGGAATAGACCTGAAAGCCTAGAAAAAGACTCATATGCCAAAGGAGTCAAAAGAGTCTCCTTAATAAATAGTGTACTGAAAACACTTAATAGTCATGTGCAAAAGAATAAAATTAGACCACTAACATCGTAACACAAAAGTCAATTCAAAATGGCTTAAATGCTTGGATGCAAGAACTGAAGTCATAAAATATACAGAAAATTCTAACAATGGGTGATAATTTGACATTGTTCTGAGAGAAATACTCAGGAACCCAACTCTAAAACAAAAAGCAAACGAAAGCAAAATTTAATGTAACTATATCAAACAAGTTCTACACACTGATAGTTATCATCAAAACACAAAGGTAACTGTAAATCCAACATTCAACAAGAGTTAAAAAAAGTTAATAATACTTACTATATAACCCTTAAGCATTGCCAGGTGTGACCCCAAAAGCCAAAAAAAAAAAAAAAACCCCACCCCAAAATCAACCAAATAAACAACCCCAAACCAAAATATTTACCTGTGATGATAGCTATTCTCCAAAAGACAAGAAACAAGAGGTACTGGAGAGAATGAAGAGAAGGCAAACCTTGTCCACTGTGGAAATCTTTATTAGTACAACCATATGGAAAGTGGTATAGAGATTCCTCCTCAAAAAATTGAAAATAGAAATTTTCTAAAATCCAGTGTCTCCCTTCAGGAAACTTAAGCAAAAACAAAATAGAAACACTAATTCCAAGAGATAAATGAATTCCTGCTATTTATAATGGCCAAGAGCTGGAAACTATTTAAGTGTCCACTGACAGATGATCAAATAAAGACGTGGTATTTATAAACAAATGAATACCACTCAGCTATAAAAAATAAAATTCTGTCATTTGCAAGAAGATGAAGGGTAATGAACTTAGTGAAATAAGTCAGAAAGACAACAGTGTAAATCATAAGCAGCATAAAGAGAAAACAAATGAATTAAAACTAAAGAAATATTCATAGGGATTTTAAGGCCAAATCTGGGACTACCAAAATAGAGGAAGAATTAGTAAACTGGGGAAAGAGTTAATTGAATGGTGTAAGATCCCTTTAGTGCTTCACGCCCTACCAAGGTCACGAGTTGCCCCCCACGAGTGTCTCTCCGGCACAGCCATGGCTCCAAAGGCAGAAGGACTTAATCCAGAGCCCGGCAGCTTGTGGCAGAAAAATGAATGGACTATGCGTTAAACTACAGTGCCAATGTCTCCCCGGGACGGAAAGGGTTTCTGTCGCCCCTCTCTCCTCCAGCAAAGTGGCAGCTGCCTCAGAGCTTACTGGAAAGCCAGGTATGAGCTGGTGTTGATGGGGCAACTACAGCCTCATAGGATGGGGGGGGGGGGGGGGGGCAGTTCACGCCCTACCGACGTCACAAGTTGCCCCCCAAGAGCGGCTCTCCGGTATGGCCATAGCACCAGACGCACAGAAACCAATCTTGTATTTATCTGGCTCTTGGCAGAAATCCCTCCAGACTTAATTAGTAAAATATCAGAAATCCAAAATGGACATCATATGGTTCTCATAACCAGCTATAGAAAACAAATTATTTTACAATGTCTTTTCAGCTGTTCTGATTGTTGGGGGGGAAGTTCTAAGCAATAATGGTGCATCTTTTGTCGAAATTATGAATGTAATCAAAGTAGAGAGAGAGTTAAGTAGAAATAATCTGCCTCACAGACATCGGGAGGGGCGGGAGGGGGGTATATTGGGGTTCTTGGTGGTGAAAAATAAGTACTGGTGAAGGGAAGGGTGTTTGATCATTGCATGACTGAGACTTAAACCTGAAAGCTTTGTAACTTTTCCCACAATGATTCAATAAATAGATATAACAACAACAACAGAAAGATCCCTTTAGTGATGAACTTATTTTGTCATGTAAAGTTCTGATTTCTAACAAAGATTTTCTGAAACTTACACACTATAATTTCAAAACACAAAAAATCCATTAAAAGGCAAATATAAGGAAAAATTTTCAGTAAAATTAAATTTTTTTGCTAAACACACAGAATGAAAGTACTTACATTTCTTTTTTTAACCTAGACTTTCAAGTAAACTTTTTTTGTTATTGAAAACATAATTGCATTAATAAGAAAACAGTAGTAAGTAAGCAGTACGTATTTTCCTTACTTGAATATGTTCATTTTTAAGTAGAGTTTTTAGTTTCTTCAACTCAGGATCATTTGAATTTTCATTTTTTCCAAAATGAAAAAATAAGAGCCACCGATGATGAGCTAAACGATCCTTAAAAGTGAGAGGAAAAAAATGTCAGCTGGTAAATTCTACAAAGGTTTTCATCTTTATTTCCTGGGTTTAAAGTTAATTTGAATTATCGTACCCATTATTATCCATTACCCATTATTATCCAGTCTTAAGTTTTGATGTTGGAGATAAGCAAATCTCTGCATTTTTTTTAATTATGATCTTATTTTGTCTCTCAAAATCTTTAACAGCAGTCAGCATCACAGCAAAGACTTCAGTCTTTATACCAGTATTTTCAAATGACATATGTTGAAGAAATTTCCCATTATTCCTTGGTAATGGTCATGCCTTATATATCTAGAATAGTAGAGATCTTTTGTAACTTCCTACATGTGACCAGTATGTATCTTGAATTGTGATTCTTGACTATCACCATCACCTAGTCCTTGATCTTTGCATATGTTGGAATTAGCTTGCAGTTTTTCCTTTGAAACTGGTCCTAAGAGACCTCAGCATGAATTTATAGATTCTTATTGATCATAGAGATATCAAGATTAATCAATATTTGAGTTCAATAAGTAACTTTAATTGCACTTCTGTCAGTTTTAAGTATTTATGTTTTATCAGGAGGAAACTTATTTCTCCTATGGTCCAATAGGATTTGGAGATATCTTGCATAGTATTGGAAGATTCAACTCATTTAACGCCATCAGGATTTTTCCTGTGAAATTGTAGGGTATTTATTCTTAGATTATGATGTCACGGGCTGGAGCGATAGCACAGCGGGTAGGGCCTTACACGTGGCTGACCCAGGTTCGATTCTTCTGCCCCTCGCTGAGAGTCCGGCAAGCTAGAGAGAGTATCTCGCCTGCACGGCAGAGCCTGGCAAGCTCCCCGTGGCATATTTGATATACCAAAAAACAGTAACAAGTCTCACAATGGAGACATTACTGGTGCATGCTCGAGCAAATCGATGAACAACAGTGCTATTATTATCCAAAACCATTAATTCTCTGTAATTACTCAGGATAATGCTATGCAAATAGTACTTACAAAGAATAATAGTATTACAAAGAATGTCACCAAGTTACAAAGTCTATGACGTAGAGCACTGTGCAAAATAAAATGTTTTGCCACATGAAACGTAAAGGAACAGCTTTTCAGTTTGTTGTTGCTTTTCTAGGACCACAAACAGCAAGCAACGCTTTGCGATCACTGCTGGCAGGGCTCAGGGCTCAGGAACCCAAAATCACGGGAGCCTAGGATTGAATCTGCATGGACCACCTGGTAGGCCTGCCCACTTAATGTTATTGTTTTGGCCCAGCTTTCCAGTTTTAACAAAATGTTTGACACAGAACACGTTAAAGTAGAATGCTTTAGGATGAACAGAAAAAAAAGATCAATTCGTAAAATGAATATTTCTAAAGCTGCTCCTTTATTTTCAGTGAACAAAATACTTGTATCAGCACAAATATGAAACACAAAATCAGATCTAAAGTTGCTCCGTGAACTAAGTGATCCAAATATTGTCACTTCTGATGCTTTTCCTGATGTCCACACCTTTAGGACTGGCTACTTTTCCAAACTGCAAATTCACCCTAAAATTTCAATATCAGCAATTCCAGCGATTAGTTTAGTTTAAACTATCATCTATTATCCTTTGAAACCGGTACTTTCTCATGATGAATGAAACAGTAATTTTAAAATTTTATATGTCAGCAACATTTTTTAGTATTAACAAAAATATTACCTCTAGTGTGTTTGTTGAAAGTAGTTCAAAATCTGGAAGATTATGCATTATTTCCAAATATATTTCTTTAGCATCCAATGAATTAAGAAACTAGAAGAGAGAATCAATTTAATCAACTTGTTTTTTAAATTTATTGTCTATAGTTTATTTCAGATTCTATAGAACTTTTAAGAAAAAAACAAGTACAGAGGTTAAACATTTTTGAAGCTATTTTCTAAACCTGTGACATAACTGATATGCCAAAAACAGTAACAAATCTCACAATAGGAGACATTACTGGAGCCCGCTAGAGCAAATTGATGAACAACGGGAGGACAGTGCTACAGTCTTTCCCTAAACTGAAAAAACAAAAACCCAAAAATACAAGACACTGCTTAGAAGAATAGCATAGTAGCTACAGGCCAGAAACTTTCATAAACATTTAGGATAAATCTGTGAAAAAGAAAAAAAATCAAAACCAAATGACTGTGGAAGAAAAATGATGAAAAAATAATAAGGTTGTAGGTGAAAAGTGCTCTGGGAGAAGAAAATAATTTTGGAAACATCTAAGAGACAGTTATAGATTTTCATGATGAATTAGTTATGGAGTACAAAAAAATAGTGACTCTTTTGTCCTGAATTAATAAAAACAAAACTTTAATCAACTGAGATGGGTAAAAGTTTGGGGGAACTGAATTATAGAGGAATATCAAGAGAGTATAGCTATAGATGTCTAAGTTTGAGACATTGATTAATTTTCCAGGGAAGACTTTGAATGGGGCAGTAGGATATATACTGCCTGGAATAGAGAGCATAGAATTGTACTACTTATAAAACTGGGAAATCTTGAGAATTGATCTACAGAACTGAGATTAGAAGTGTGGGAGTAGGATAGGGGAAGGGAACTCGAATCACTCTGGTTTAGAGCGTGGCGTAGGAACACTGTACTCATAAAACCCAGGAAGTAATTGTATTTTCAAAAACATGGAAAAGTTAAAACTGGAAAGTCATCAACATTAAGTCATTAATATATGTACAATCTATGGGAAGTTTCGTTTTAGTGAAATTTTCCTTCCTTACATATTTCTATAATGTGTTATCTTTGCTAAAAAGGTACAATTAAAATACAGAGAACTAAAGGATGTTCGAATTGTATTTGAGTATTTTGGAATCTCCTAGGGTTCTAGTCCTAGGTGGGTTTTTTTGGTTTTTGTTTTTAAATCTTAACTCTTTGATAATGAACCTGACTTAAGTATCCTCCATAATAAAACAAACATAAACACATGGGACTATATTAAACTAAGAAGCTTCTCCATCTCAAATGAAACAATGACCAAAATAGAGAGAGAGCCCATGGAATGGGAAAGAATATTTACCCAATACCCATCAAATAAGGGATTAATATCCAGGATATACATTAGCAGAACCGTAAGACAAAAATACTTCCAATCCCATCAAAAAATGGGGAGAAGCAATTAACAGAAGCTTCCTCAAAAAGGAAATACAAATGGTAAAAAGGCACATGAAAAAAATGTTCTACACTGCTAATCATCAGAGAGATGAAAATCAAAACAACAATGAGATAACATCTCACACCATAGAGACTGGCACACAGCAAAAACAATAAGAACCAGTGCTGGTCCTGATGTAGGGAGAAAGGGACGCTCTTTCATTGTTGGTGGGAATGCCAGCTGGTCTAGCCTTTTTGGAAAACAATATGAGCATTCCTTAAACTAGAAATTGAACTTCCATATGACCCAGCAATGCCACTTCTGGGAATATATCCTGAGTATGTGAAAAAGCACAGGAGCAATGACGTCTGCACCTGTATGTTCATTGCAGCACTGTTCACAATTAGCCAGAATTTGGAAACAACCACAGTGCCCGAGAACAGATGACTGGTTAAAGAAACTTTGGTACATCTACACAATGGAATACTACATGGCTGTTAGGAAAGATGAAATAATGAAATTTGCTTATAAATGGATGTACATGGAGAGTGTCATGCTAAGTGAAATGTGTCAGTAAAAAGGGGACGGACAGAGAATGACTGCAATCAGTTGTGGAATATAAAATACCATAATATGAGACTAACAACCATGGACAGTAGAGACAGGGCCGGGAAGATTACTTCACAGTTGGAAGCCTGCCTTATGAGCAGGGAGAGAAGGCAACTGGGATAGAGGAGGGAACCACTAAGTCAATGATGGTTGGAGGGATGGCTCAGGATGGGAGATGTATGTTGAAAGTAGATAAAGAAGCAAGCATGATGGTCTCTCGGTATCTGTATATTTAAAAGTCAACCCCCAGTTAAACTTAACAAGTTTTGGCCATCTTCCAGAGGCCAATGGACAGCCAGGTAGGGGCCCACAGTGACGAGAAATGTGGTGCCTCAGAGTATGGGGGTGGAGCCGGCCCTTTCCTCTCCCACCCCAAGGAGACCCCAAGTTGCCACCCACAAACAGGCCCTCTGGCTACTCAACAAGCTGCTTAAGCCATGATTCCAGAGACTCAGAAACTAATCTTGGAACCCAGCAGCTTTTGGTAGAAATCCCTCCAGATTTAATTATGAAGATTTTAGAATTCCAAAATCGTGCAACCACCACTGTGGTCGTGCAACATCATATCCTATTCATAATCAGCAATAGAAAACAAACTAATGTTACCTTTTCAGAAAATCTGAGTGTTGGGGTAAAATACCAAATAATAATGGTGGGTCTGATGTAAAAATATTGAATGTAATCAAAGTAGAGAGAGAGTACTGTGGAAATCATGTGCCACAATGGTAGGGGGAGGGTGTGGGATAGGGGGGATATACTGGGGTTTTTGGTGGTGGAAAATGTGCACTGGTAAAGGGATGGGTGTTTCATCATTGTATGACTGACACTTAAACCCGAAAGCTTTGTAACTGCTTTCACGGTGAGTCAATAAATTTAGAAAAAATATAAATAAATAAAAAGTCAATGCCCCAGTTAACAATAAGCTTGAGGTTTAAAAATATAATGATTTATGACAGTTTATTAATAATCATTAAGGCAGACTAATACTATAGTGTGTATTACACAGAATCACAAAATTACTCATTATACATATTCTAGAATTAGATGATATGAATTTATTCTTTAAACTTCTTGTTTACAAAATTACGTATTTGAATGCGTACACATTGGCAAAGAGATTTAAGTAATCCATACCAAAACATTGCTTTTCTCTTTGTCATTTAAAGTGGCTCCAGGGGGAAAATAGGCAGTTGTACTTGCTGTGATATCTAAACTTTCACAAAGGTTATCTTGGGTGGCACAATCCATCCATCCTACATTAACAAGACCATCCTAAAATAAAAAGGACCAGTAGATGGTGATAAGTAGAAGTAACAGGAAATTTAGCCTATTTGGCTAAATACGAAACTAACTTTAAGTTAAAAATTATAAAAGTAAAAAACACTGGGGCCAAAGATATAGTACAGAGCAATGGGAGCTTGCCCTGCATGTAGCTGACCTGGGTTCCATTCCCAACACCACATATGGTCCCCTGACCACCTCCAGGGTGTGACCCCAAAACTGAAATAGAAAAAACAGCAACCAAAATAACCGCCCCCACCCCAACAAAAACCACTCCCATCTGAAATAATGCAGATCTGAATGTCATGAGTAACAAACATGATCATATAAAAATTATATGACACATACAGAAAGAATATTACTTTCTTTTCTTCTTTTTTGGTTTTCGGGTCACCCAGCGATGTTCAGGGGTTACTTCTGGGTCTACACTCAGGAAATACTCCTGGTGGTGCTCGGGGGACCATATGGGATGCCGGTGATTGAACCCAGGTTGACTGCATGCAAGGCAAATGCCCTACCCGCTGTGCTATCGCTCCAGCCCCAAGAATATTACTTTCAAGTACACATAGAACTTTTGTCAGGGAGTAAGGGCACAGCTGGTAGTGCTCAGGGCATACTGCTGACTCTGCGCTCATAAATCACTTGTGGCAAGCTTGGGGGCCCATATGGGATGCCAGGAATTAAACCTGGGTCGACCAAGAGCTAGATACACATTGTACTATCTCTCTTGCCAGAACTTTCAGCTTTTACACTATATGAACTTCCAGACCACAAAGGGAGCTTCAAAAGTGTTCAAGTAAACTACATATCCCAACACTGAAAGCTAAATAACAGAGTAATAAAATTAAGAGTAGAAATGATAAACACAAGCATGGAACTCTTTGTTTAGAGGAATTAATTATCAAATATTTAGAAGTGAATGGTGATAGAAACACAACAAATCAAAATTCTAAACAAAGAAGCCTGTAAATTTAAATACATTTATCAGATATCAAGAGTTAGGTATTTAAGAAACTATCAAAGAAAAATACCTAGGTTCAAATTTGAAGTGTATTTTTTGACATGGCATTATAGTTTCATAAAGTAACTGCTACTTACCAACATGCCACTAAGTCTGAGACGCGTCTGTGAAGTCAAACAATCTACAGAGGAGGGGGGGGAAACTAATGAGGCAATTTTAGCTTTATTTATACTTTCTTTTGCCTATCTCCTCCACACTTTCACTCTTCTCTCACTCATGCACACACAGCCTCTCACTCATTTTTTAATTCTCTTCCCTATGCGTCCCAAAATTCCTTGCTAAGGAGTAATGTGTTCTCAAATACTTCTTAAGGATCTTACTCTCAGAATCTCCATAAAAAGTTCCCTTTACTTAAGAGAACTCCTGATTTGAAGGTACAAAAATATATGAATATATAATATATAAACTTCCAGACCACAAAGGGAGCTTTAAAAGTGTAAAGAGGTCCCTTTGACAATAGGTAGGCATACTTAAACAAAACATTAAAATTAAAAAAAATGAATGCTCTATAGAACGTCCTGGAGTGAGAAGTTGCACGACCTCTTATATTCTAGCCCACCGACGTACCAAAAGCAGCACACATTTGTGTGGGCTTAACATACACGACTGTAATCTCTTACACAAGGGTTTAAATGGCTCCAGGATGAAATACAACAGTCTTCACACACTTTCCTTTTATGGTGGTGGAAAGGTGCATGGTGGTGGGATTGGTATTTGAATATTAACTGTAATGAACTATTGTGAACAGCTTTTTAAAAATAGAATAAAACAATATGAATACTAGGATACAAGATGTCCTCAGAAGGTAGCTGTAGTATCACAAAGCCTAGAAAACTATTCAAAAGCTGTTTATCTTGGGTAAAAAGTGAAAGAATGACAGTAAATTTTATTCTCTAGGAGTGGAATGTACAGCAATCTGTACATTAGGTCAAAACGAGACAGAACTATTTGTTAATAGACTGAAGTTAAGGGCGAGTTTTGCTGCAAGGTAGTAAAAAAAGAGTAGCAAAAAATGTGGGCAAAAGAAAAAGACTATTTGGGATCAAACATATAGAAATTTATCTTACAATGCCTTCACCAATTTTTAACTAATCTCATAGAAAATAAATCTTCAATTTTCACCACACCAAAGTGTGGTTTGGCACATAGGGTGGTGAATCTTCAACTTAATTTATTCAGGTAGGGGTTTCTAGAAATGGGGACAAATATACATTTTCATATGCATATCTGTGAGGCAAAGTTCATAATCAAGAGGGATATATTTATCAACAACTACTTTTGCTGTCAAATACACCCAAGACTTGTCCAAAGATACAATTTTCAGAAGTATAATTAAGCAAGAAAAAAAAAGCAAACTAAAAGATCAAACATGAACCCATAAAATATTAACTGTGTAAAGTATTAAAAATATAAATGTTTATTAATTATAATGTCGAATAGTTCAAAACAATTATAGTAGCATATATAATTACCATATATAATAAACGTTCAGTTATAAATTGATAATTTCTAGTTTCTAGTATATAGCTATAACATTGGTTATAGCTAACACTAAGTCATACATTTGAAAACTGCTGTAAATGTTCTCACTTTACGAAAGAAAGAACTGATTATGCCACAAAATGGAAGTGGAGGTGATATTTGGTCGCAATCATATTGTAACATTAACTATCAAACCAATACACTGTTAAAGTTTTAAAAAGTTTTATGTCCATTATATCACACATATAATGGTTAAAACTCATATCTCAATAGAAAAAAATTAAGATCACCAACAAAACACTACATGCCTTTATTAGAACAATAACAAATTACCTCCTTCTTTGGAACAAAAAGTGATCAGCCAGCCAATACCAGCAGCAAAAGCAGTTTGTATGGCATTAACAAAATTTCCTTGAAAGAAAATAAAACAAATGTCTGATAAGCTATTACTGGAAAACAGAAATAGTATCACAAATGTCTTTTTCCTTCTAATCTCACCTACTTAATCTGCTCTAAGTATTATCAGAATTTTCCCCAAACCCCCTTGTCTATGTTAGATTCCCTCACGAGCTCTACCTTTTCTTAATCATATAAAATCTAAATTCACTATTTTATTAGAAGGAAAAAAATTGGTAAGGTCCTTTAGATCGGAACTCTGCATGCATTCAATTTTTTTTTTCCAACACCACCCTGCCATAACTCATGCTTTTATGGATTCATGGTGAAACTTTGCAGGTCTCCGAAATACATCTTGGATGGCCTTCTCTTCAGTTTGGTGACTGGGTCTGACCTCATTCTAGAAGTAATTTCTAACCCTAACTATTCCTCAGCATAAGTTCTTTTACATCTTTCCTGCTTTCCTAAATCCACATCCATCTTTATAGTTACTACATTACATTTTAATGGCTTACTAGTAACGTCTCCATTGGAGACTTTGTTGTTACTGTGTCTGGCATATCGAATACTCTCGGTAGCTGGCCGGGCTCTCCGAGAGGGACGGAGGAATCGAACTCGGGTCAGCCATGTTGGCTGCGTGCAAGGCAGACGCCCTACCCGCTGTGCTATCGCTCCAGCCCTACTAGGCTTACTAGAATGGTCTTCCTTAAGAAAAGAATGATGTACTCTACATAGCTCAAGTGTTTAGAGCCATTACAACTGGTGTTCATGCGATGACATGAACATCCCTTTTAATGTAAACACTATCATCTGTATAGTACAGATTTATTCAAATACAGTCTTAAATCGGAAGAGTTTTAAGCTTTTAAAATTATGCTGGAGAGGCATAAATTTATTGCCTGATAGAGTATACATATGAGCAATTGAAAACTCACTTCATTCAACACTGTTTGCACTTTCAATATTGCCTTTTATCTAGCTCCATTTCTTATCTCTTTTCGTTTTGTTTGGTTTGGGGGCCACACCCAGTGGTGTTAAGGGCTACTCCCCACTCTCACAATTCACAACTATTGAGTTGTTCCTGGTCAGCTGGATCTAACCCTAGTCTACCCCATGCAAAGCAGCTCCTTGAGCTATCTCTCTGTTCCTCATTTCCAACATCTTAATTGTTTTAGCTTCTGCAAATATAATTCATTTGTTAAATGCTATGTTTCACAGAGTTCAGAACAAATGACACAATTACTTCTAAGATGCATGAAAGAGATTTTTGAAAATTTTTGAAAATCAAGCAAATGAAGAAAATAAAAATTACCTGTCCACAATTCTGTCACTGTGCTTTTAACGTGTTGCATGGCGAAACTCACTAAACTTTCCTTTGATCTGTCACCATGATATTTAACTGCAGCCTATTTTTTAGATACAAATAAATTTTTTACTCTTTAAAATTCACTAAAAGCATCAAGTACATTTGATTCCACATTATTAGTGCATATTTTTTAAACTGTAATAGTCTTAGTAATACAATATTTTCAAATAATATACTAAGTATCTTAATTGTACAAAGTCTGTGAAAGACATTTTAATTATTTTTGCTAGTTTTATCAATTGAAAATGAAAAAGATATATACGTTTGTTCATAGGATGATACCTGAAGAATATTTTATAAAACTTAATATATGATATACAATTTACATTATGTTGGACAAAAACTAAAATTAGCAAACATTTAATTCAGAAAAAGAGTAAAATCAAAGTAATGGATCAAAAATTATTCGCAATACAACGCAAACTGTTTATCATTAATGAGCCTAATTAGACTTAAAAATATTTTAAAAATTCATATATTTTGTGTAGTATTAAAAAAAATCAGTATTAACTTTAATCCTTACCATTCCAGACCTAAAAATGAAGAGGCTGGGATAACTGTTGACTCCTTTCATTCGGCAAAGCATTCTATCATCACCACAGTTAACAGCCCCAATTCGAAGTAATCCATCAACTTCTTTAGCAAAATCTCTCCACTGTGAGAAAAAACATGAAATGCAAGTGTTTTCTTTAATTGAATAAAACTATATATATATTATGAAAGTATTTGCTAATTATTTCTGATGGTTATAGTGAGCATCATGAAAAAAAAATCCTAGCATCTTAAAAATCAATACAATTGGGACTGAGTAATAGTACAGCCAGTAGGGCATTTGCCTTGCATGCGGCCAACCTGGGTTCAATTCCTAGCATCCTATATGGTCCCCTGATTACCGCCAGGAGTAACCCCTGTGCATTGCCAGATGTGACCCAAAAAGAAAAAAAAAAATCAATACAATTAACATATTAGGAATAATGAAACCTGAATAATCATGATATAAAAAAATACATACCGTGGGAGCTAAATCATGACAATGTGAACATCCTGGAGAATAAAAGTTCACAAACCACAGTTCTCCAGAATTAACAGCAGCATCTAAAAACATTTAAAAAAGAATTATTAGTTACTAAAGGCTGGTATTTTATCTAAAAATTATTTTCTTTAGAATGAAAATGTATTACCCATATAGCATTAATCATTTTTCTATAAAACATCATAAAACTATAAAAGAGATGGAACAGGAAGCAAAGTCAAAGCTCACAAAGGGCCACAGAGATAGCAGAATGGAAAAGATGCTTCCCTTGCAACCAGATCCCTGGTATCACATCTGGTCCCTCAGCCCTCCCAAGAGTAGCCCCCAAAACAAAACAATAAAAGATGATGCAAAATGTTTGTGTGGATGAGACAAATGAAGTGTTAAACATTTCAACTCTTATTACTATCTCCAGGACAAATTTAAATATGTGATTATTCAATTCTGATAGAAATTCAAGTTCTGAAATGAAGAGATTGTGAAGTAGCACCGTAGCACTGCCCTCCCGCTGTTCATCAATTTGCTTGAGTGGGCACCAGTAACGTCTCCATTGTGAGACTTGTTACTGTTTTTGGCCTATCAAACACGTCACAGGGAGCTTGTCAGGCTTTGCCGTGCAGGTAGGATACTCTCAGTAGCTTGCCAGGCTCTCTGAGAGGGGCGATGGAATCAAATCCGGATCGGCCGCTTTCAAGGCAAATGCCCTACCTGTTGTGCTATCGCTCCAGCCTGGTGTGATGTAGCAGATGTACATTAAATTTAATCTTTGTCTTTAAGACATTTACCTTAGAAAACTGTTATTTGAAACACATTAATACTGCTTCTTTTTAACAATTCAAAACATGAAAACAGATCCTCAAATAACAGACGTTAACAGTACATAATGTCTAAAAATACGTTCTAAGATGACCTGAGGGAAAGTAAATAAAAAAAATTTCAACCCTTTATGAAAGTAACATTAAGGACTCAAAACAAAAAGGTGAAGACAATTTCGTTTTGGCTGAAACGTTTTCAGGAAATTCTTTATCAAAATCAGTTATGAGTAACTGTAACAAAAATGTCACAAATTACATTGATATTAAAGCACACATAGCATTCTACATATGTGTAACCACCTCAGGTTGATTAGAAACATGTAGCACTCAATACTCACATATATTTCAATAAAGACAGGTACATAGTAGGAAGTTAACCTATATATTACAGGTAAAGTACATAATTTAGGACTTGATCAACTATTCTTTGACACCTTTAGAAAGTCTGATAAGTCAGTCACTCTGTATAGGGAGGAGAAATACTTATGCTATGTAGTCTATCAGTACTAATTTTGTTATGATCTTAGTAAACTTGTAAATTGTAATAGAAATGTAAATGTAAAATGTAAATTGTAATAGAAATGTGTTTTGCTGCGCTATAAAAATAAGGTGATTACTTATATAATAAGACAGCAAGAATTACATAAAGTATTATATTTAAGTATTAAATAAAAAAATGGACACCAAATCTGGTGGCATGTGAGAAAAAAATCTTATTCGCTATGAAACCTCTCTTGATACTTTGTTTCCATTGAAAGCAAACAAAGCAGTGTGCAATAATCTCCTAGTACAACAGAGAAACTTAAGAGGAAAGTCATCAGTTATCAAATACAATGAAGAATTTGGGGACCAAAAATCGAGGAAGAGTTAGAATGCAAGTCAATGTTCAGCACCTTCTAAAATAAGAATCTGATAGGTAAACTGAGCAGACCCTTTAAGAGACTCATTAAGTACAGGGCAAAACTGGAGTTTGAGGCATATCTATCAGTAAAGAATTAGAAAGTAACTAGTTATCTCAAATTATTGAATTATTTTATCTCTGGTTGGAAAAATGCTAATCTGAGATTGTGAATGATCCTAGAAAACAACTCTTCTCGAAGATGGACACACATAAATATGAAATAATTCTGTAATTTGTATTAGCTATAAAAGAACAAAACTAACCCAAATTAAGAGAAATGACTGGCAATCAAGATCTACAACTAAGAAGGCTAATGGAATCGGTACTATCGTACACGCATGGCATTTTCCTTCTGTTTCTTCAAGTGAAATTTCAGAATTAGTTTGTCTTAGCTTACTAAAATCACAAGCACCTTTGAGATCAGATGAAAAGGTCGCATTTATGGAAATACGGGAGTTCACAAGCATTGCTTCATGGGGCGAGACCAATCTGGTGACACTCAACCCATGTTCAATGCTCTTTCCTACAACTGGGCCACCAGGCCACTTAGGGCACCAAGTGATGTTGCTGATCAAACTCAGGTACTGTTAATGCCAGGCACATACATTCTCTAGCTTTCTGGACCGTATCCCCAGCGCCTGTACTTGACTCTCAATTACTTTTGGGGCTCAACAGGAACAAGTGAGAGTTTTCAACCTTTTCTTCATTGTGACTCACTTATTAGAACCTCTGTACATCAGGAAAGGCTCTCACAAAGAGCTTGTGGATTAACTCTCTTGCATATTTTGTCCACTATATTTAATTCCATCTCTAACTACAAAATTTTCTGTCCCACTGATACAAAACACTAGTAGAACAGTACGTAAGAAACAATAAAAACCACACAGAAAAATGCTGCAATTTTTATCAGAGTTACCTATCTAAAAAAATTCAATTCTTTCCTATTTCCTCTTTAGCAAAGATATGCTTATTCACTAAGTATTCAACTTATCAAGTGTACAATTTGTAATGTGATCATGGGCAAGATGTACTGAATACTTTAGAAGTCTGAACTCATCAACAAATGATGTTAAAAAAAGAATAAAACATAATTTTGGCTTAGAAGGGAACTGCACAAAATTAGTGACTATAATTTACCTCTTTTAGAACACAATTTTAGGTAGTTCTTTATAGTTAATATTCTATTTTAAAATTCCAAAGGAAATAAAATGGAATTGGGGCTGGAGTGATAGTACAGCGGGCAGGGTATTTGCCTTGCACGCAGCCAAACCGGTTTCAATTCCCAGTATGCCGTATGGTCCCCCGAGCACCGCCAGGAGTGACTGCTGAGTGCAGATCCAGAAATAACCCCTGAGCATCGCCGGGTATGACCGAAAAAGAAAAAAAAAAAGGAATTGAAACTTAATGAACTAAAACCTCATATAACGTAGGAAAAAAAATCCTAAATTCCCAAATATGAAAGTTTTAAACCTGAAAGTGTTTTGCAAATTTCCAGCACACTAACCTGGCACCTAAAATAGTCCTACACCAATATCTCGCAACATATTTTTACTTTTTTTTAGAACATAAACATTTGCTAATAAATATTAACATTATTATAGGACTTGTATCTGCTAAGATGATGCTAATATACTATATGACATGTTATTATGTTAAAATCCAAAATAATTCTAATTCTTAAATATATTAGTACGCAGGGGATTGAGCTTCATCGGTCATCAACCAGCAAAAGAAAATCCTCTGCCCACAAACTTACCAAATTCTCTTCTGTCCAATGTTATGATTTCAGGATCATCATCATAAATACCTAGTTTTAAAAGTACATTGAAATTACAAAATTAAATTTGTCATAAAAGTAAATTACCAAATAGATTACTTATATGGTTCTAATCATCAAAAATTAGATGCGTATACTAAATCTCAAAGTTAATAATACACAACAAACTGAGAAACCAGCAATAACACCTTAGCTGGTATATTGAAGAATTACTAAAAAATATTAATTTTTACAAATTGTAATAGGTCTATTGATTTCTACTGTTGACATGATGAACTTCCTCACAGAAGTTTCTCCTGGAGAGTTTGGCAAGCTACCGAGAGTATCCCACCCGCACGGGCAGAGCCTGGCAAGCTACCCGTGGCGTATTCGATATGCCAAAGCTAGTAACTGTAACAGGTCTCATTCCCGACCCTGGAAGAGCCTCCAATACAGCAGCGTTGGGAAAGATGAGTAACGAGAGGCTGCTAAAATCTCAGGGCTGGGACGAACAGAGATGTTACTGGCACCCACTCGAGTAAACCGACAATGGGATGACAGTGATACAGTGATATATAAATAATGAAGATTCTTATTTTAAAGAATACTCAGGAAATTGTGGTATATTCACCCAATTTGCTTTAATGGTTACGTAATATGTAGTTTTAGTAAATATCAAAATCTGGAAACTAGTGATGGTACAATTAGATGATAGACCTCATTAATTCCTCAAATTATATGGCTTTTGATAACTGGCGGTTTCTGAAATATTTCCCATTAGAAGTTTTTACAATTAGAATATTTGCAGAGGTGGAGATAAACCTACTTAGAAAATACCAATCTAATCTACCACAGAAAGGAAAACAAGTGTAAGAAAAATGTATCTTTTTACTTATAAATATCCAAATAATTATCAGTGCTATATAAACCAGGGCATCAAAAAACCTTCTATACAAAAGGAGAACAAAAGGGAATGCCCTGCCACAGAGGCAGGGTGGGATGGGATGGATGGGGGTCGGAGGGATACTGGGACCCATGGTGATGGAAAATGGGCACTGGTGGAGGGATGGGTATTTGATCATTGTATAATCGAAACCCAAGCACAAAAATTTGTAAATCTACAACTGTACCTCATACTGTTTCACTAATAAAAATAATTTAAAAAATCCTTCTATAGAGATTACAGTTATTGTCACAACTATTCAATTCTGTCCAGGAAATGGTATAAGAAGCCACAAACAATATATCAACAAATGAGCTCAACTGTATTGTAATTTATTGGGGCAGATCAAACTTAAATTATGGAATACAAATATAGACTTTTAAGCTGTAGAAAATATACTTGAAATTTTTTTTTTTACTTTTGTACTTTTTTCCTTTCTTTGGCCATGCTTCCTTTCTAACTTGTGTCAATACCTAAACCTTTATGGAAAAAAATTTCTACATATGAATAAAGGGATTTATACAGAAATTAACTGAACTAAAGGAAACTTAAACCATTTGTTGGAAGCATGATGCTTTGATATTTAAGATGTGAATATTTAACCACTTTTAATGCACGCCCTTTATAGCAATCCATACTTTAAAAAATTTAGCAGGATTATGACAACACCTCCCTATCTGTGCAGATATCTACAAACCACCTGACATTCCTTTCTGAATTTCACTTACATGTTACATGTTTAAAAAAGAACCAGTGTAACAAATATAAATCAGTGAAGTGGTCAGATAAAATTTTATATAGTCAGAGGAAAATCTACAATTTCATAAGAAGTATCTTATTATCTTACCAAAATCATATCGATAATAATTCCAGCTTTCATACTGCCCTCCTCCTTGGTTATCTGCAAGTCCCTTTTCTCCATATTTGTCATACTTTTTCCGCAGATCTTCATCTTTGAGTACTTCATATGCTCTATTTATTTTTAAAAAATCACTATGTGCATTTGGATTATTCTATTCAAAAATATTAAGATACAAAGTTGTTTCAGATATGCAATCAAATTTGTTCAGAACCTAAATGTACATTTAACTTAATCCTGAGGCTTCTGGGAGAACAGATAACAAAATAAGGAGGAAATGTACAAATATGTAACAGGTTATCATGAGATGAAATGAGTATTATGAAAGTACTACAATCTTAAAATATGAAAGCACACCAATGAGAATTAATGCGTCAAATGACTGACAGATGTGATTAGACAACTTAAGAAATTCCTTCTAAGAAAAGCAACTGATTAAAAGTTGACTAATAAACTCTTTAAACCCTTAATTTTGTAACTATGATTAGTTACAGTTGGAACAACTACAAAGCATTCTGTATGCTCCTTTTCTGCTATAAAATAACATAATTAATTTATATAACTAGGTATCCCAATCAGTAAAATAGTAATTATTATCAGAGTGAAAATGCAAAAGAAGATTGGAAATTTCATTTGCTATTGTTTAAGAGAACTAGATTTTGAAGAACACTTTTTTGGAGTGTTTGTTTCTGGGCCATATCCAGCTGTACATGGGATCGAAGCTAGCTGCATACAAGGCAAGCACCTTACCCAATGTGCTACTTTTCTGGCCAACATAAAACACTTTTATTGAAATATTGAGTTGTAGATGAGATAATCTTTTATTTGGAAAGTTAAAAACTCATTTTGAAAACTCAAAAAACCAACAACGACAAAAAATCCCTAAACATAATGTGAATCACAGGGAAAGATTATGAATTAAGATTTATTTTTAAAATGCAGTAACATTCATTTTTAAAAAGGGAAAAATACATTATAACATCAAGGACTTTTAAATTTTTTTCTTTATCTAGACCCAGTATTTTGAATATGTATGTAAGGTTACTTGTGATTAAATGATATATTTTGAATATAAAATGACTACAACATTAAAATTAAGACTGACAGGGAACTGGAGTGAGAGTACAGTGGGTAGGGCGTTTGCCTTGCATGTGGCCGACCTGGGTTCGATTCCCAGCATCCCATATGGTCCCCTGAGCACCGCCAGGAGTGATTCCTCAGTGCAGAGCCAGGAGTCACCCCTGTGCATCGCCGGGTGTGACCCCAAAAAGCAAAATAAATAAATAAAATTAAATTAAGACTGACAGACCTTAAAGTACAACATATTTCCAAATTATACTGCCATTGAAACTGTTCTCTGAAGACTAGGAGAACTTATTTGGAAAAATCAATAGTTAGGTCTTTATATAAACTGAGAACGATTCCTCCCAAAAACTCCTTTACTAGTTTCACCAAAGAAAAAAGATGCTCATTTGCACCTTCTGGCTCAAGGTTCCTAATGTAATTTGCAAGCTCAAAAATGTATTCTGTATTTCTTCTACTAGGACCAGCTGCTTTAAATATCAATCTAGCAGTGTTTTCTAGAGCTATAGAACCAAGAAAATTAGGATTATTACATGTTCTAATATATAACAAACCCATTGGTTTTGCTGTTGGAACTCTGGGATAAATTATGACTGTGGCAGTTTCTCTTCACCCTAATATTACAGAATACTTTGGCTTCTTTCCTCATTACTGGATGTTTGTAAGCAACACCCCTTACACAATCCCAGAATCTTCAATAAAAATCATTAATTCTTCCAGGCTGAAAATACTAAAAAACTGTCACAATTGTGTATTTCTTTGTAAGTGTTAAGTATCATTACGAAAAATTAAAGTGTAAAACTGAAAGTTAAAATTATGAAAGGGGAGGCTATAGCAATAGCACAGTGGGTAGGGCATTTGCCTTGTAGGCAACTGACCCAGGTTCGAGACCCAGCATCCCATATGGTCCTCTGAGCACCACCAGGAGTAATTCCTGAGTGCAGAGCCAGGAAGTAACCCCTGTGCATCGCCGGGTGTGACCCAAAAAGAAAAAAAAATTATGAAAGGGTTTATCACTGGCGATATAATCCAAGTTATTATTATGGGCATAAAATTAATTTATCTTCTTTCAAGTTCATTTTTTGGACCACATTGGCTGTGCTCAGGGCTTATTCCTAGCTTAGTGCTCAGGGATTACTCTTGGTGATACTAGGGATTGAACCCAGGTTCGATACGTGCAAGGCAAATGCCTTACCCCCAATACTATCTCTTTGACCAATTCTCTCAAGGTTTAACTTACAATAAATGCCATTTGACTCTGGTTTTTAAGTTATTCACTAGAAAAAAAAAGACCCCAGAAAACCTATGGTAACCATTAAAGTTCTAAGAAAACGCTTTTCTGGGAACTATTTTCAAAATAGTTACTTGGTATCCTAACAAAACTACTTCAATCACCACATTACCATCAGCTTTGGGGTTAATAACTGCAAGATAACTGCAATTCTGGTACAAAAATCTCATGAAACTAGTCTAAATTACAACATAAAAACTGAGTATTTTTGACGTGAATTTTAGAGATCTATAAAATGTAACTGGAATACATGAAACACAGAATGAAAAGAAAATGTTTACCTACCGGGTTTTTATCAGGATGAAGTTTCAGTGCCAACTTTTTGAAAGCTTGTCTTATTTCTCTACTGCTTGCAGTTTTGGATACTTCAAGTAAACTGTAAAAATCCTGATCTGTGCCCACCAAAACAGTCATATACAAAATTAGAAAACAGAGGATGACCCTTTTCAAGTCTCTGACATAGTCGTCTTTATTTAACCAGACTCTCATTCTTGTCTTATACAAGTTCTGACTTAAGTGAACATGAAAATACGCAGCTGGTTCCAGTTGATCTAATATGCCACTTTGAGAACTTCTATCCGTATCACTTCAAGGGCGAATCAAGGGGTATGAAAATGTGTCATCAAATGTTAATCTAAAGAGAGGAAACAATGTGGTTAAATACAAAACCCAACCCAACCCAGTAACTGCATAGTAAAATAAAACTGGCAGTACCATCACCAGTGACAAAAAGATCTGTGTCCCAGTTTCTGTTCTTTAGAGAGTCCCTGCTACCTTTACAGGTCTGATAGCCAGATTCGTGAAATCATCCAAATCGGCAGATAAAGGGCAAAATGCAATGTTTGTAGGTATCTTCAGCACTTAAAAAAACCACCGAGCTATCTGCTCTGATCAGCATCAGTGCATAAGGAGTTACTAGGGCCTTCCTTTTTCCACCAAGTTTAATTAAGGGCTGCCCTTCTGTAACACTTTCTTTTGAGCAACTTCTCGGGTCTTTGCTCTCCACTTTCCTTTATCGTTTTCACTTGCAGGAAACATGCTTGGAGGGAATTCGAAGGAAGTACCAGGACTGCTCCAAAGACGTCTCTTCCAAGGATCAATTTACATATTAGCTCATTTTCTCTCTCCAAGTTTCAAAGGCCCTTACATCTTAAACTACTGTATAAGAGTAACGAACCAGTTACCTACGTTTTTGTTTGTTAGTTTGTTTCACTTCACAATGGAGAGGAGAAATTGAGAAGGAAAGAAATCACGTAGACACCATCACTTGCGTTGCCCAGAAATAAAACTCTCCCAGATCACACCGACTTTTGGCGATCGCTTTCAAGGATCTCAAAATGCGTAAGGAGTATAAAAAAAAGTGTATCTATCTCACCCTACCCTCGCCTCTTTTCTTCCTGACTTCGGGTCACTCTGCCGAGTTTCTCCGTACCTGGAAACGGTTCATTTCCAAGCACTCCTTGCCACTCTCCCTGTGTTCGCAGGTACTGATGCAAGGATCAGTAAACCTGTCTAGAAAGCACTGGAGAGAGAAGACGGCGGGCACCACCCGGGAGCTGGACACGCGGCCCTCGGGGCAGTGCGCTGCCCGTGGGCGTGTCCGCAGGGGAAGGCCCGGCCCACGCCGTCCCGCGGCCGGCGCTCCCTCCGCCAGAGGATGCGGGGACCCGGCGGCCCGGGGGACAACGGGGGTCCCTGGGCCGTCCAGCGGCTTACAGGGAGACCGGGAGGGAGGAAAGGAACGGAGGACCCCAGAGCAAGGCACGGGGGGGGGAGCCGGGGGGCGAGCGAGGGCGGTGCCGTGCAGGGGGTCCGGGAGCGAGCCGGCGCGGGGCGAGCACACGTGCCGGGGCCGAGAGCCGTGCAGGGTCGGGCCTGCGGGCCAAGCGTTGGCGCCTGCTCCCCCCTGGCCAACCCGGGCGGGCCCGGCGGTCCGAAAGCCCCGCTCCCCGGCCTCGCGCCCCGCGCCCACCTTGGTTCGACGGCGGGGTCGCTTCCGGCGGCGCCTCCCCCATCCGCGACCCCGGCGGCGGCGCCCGCCGACTGCAAGCTGAGCGGTGCGCGCGGGGACGGGAGCTCGCAAGCTCCCACCGCCGGGCCGTCGCGCTCGGGATGGGGGAGGACCGGTCGCAGCGGCGGCGTGCGCGCGGCTCGCTCCGCGGGACGCTCCGGGGCGGCCGGTCTCCGAGGCGAGCGGGGCGGGGCCTGGCGCGGGGCATTGTGGGAACGGCGCGGAGGACCCGGCCGGGGCGGCCGCGGGAGGGGAGGGCGCAGGCGGGCTAGGCTGACGTGGCGGTTAACGCGGGATCCGGCTCCGGCTCCGACTCCGGCTCCGGTTCAGAGTCAGGGCAGAGGCGAGCTGCAGCCGCCCTGCCGGCGCCCACGCTCCAGCAGAGCGACTGGCAGCCCGTCGGGAGCCGGATGCGGACGAGGAAGCCCGCCCCTGCGCTTCCGGTCCCGGCCGGTTGCCACGGTGACGGGGCGGTACCCTCCCCCTCCTTTCCTCCTCACCTTCTCTCCTCCTCCCTCCCTCCCTCCCCCGATTCCGAGGGCGGGTTTGGGGCTCGCAGGCTTTCCTGTCGCGCTGTTCTTAAAGGGAATGCATGCTGGGGGAATCGGTTGGTGGGTGATCGGGGTGACCTGAGGACAGAGGAGCTTGATTGCAGTGACATGCATAGCCGTGGCGGGGTAGCCTGGCTTCCTGCACATCATCAGGCCAGGAGCCGGGGCGTCCTCTCGGCTCTTCCTTCTGCTTCTGGACCGCACAGGGCAGAAACGGCTTTGGGAGAACAACCGAGGACGTAACAGACGGGGACACGTGACGAAGGGGAAGCCTGCTTTTGACATCGATTCCCATTGTTGAATCAGTTGGTCCGGGAGATGCTCCAGGCTCAGGGGCGCCTGTTTTTCACCAAGGGTCACTTGGTTTCCTTCCAGCCGCTGCCGGCCCATCCCCTAGCGGTGCAGGCTGTGGACCCCCGCGCCCGGGCTGGCTGGGGGCCCCTGGTGGTCCTGCACAGCAAGTGCAGAGTGGCGGACTGTTCCGTCCTCTTGGCAGAGTAAGGTCAAGGAGCGGCTCGTGGACTCGCTTGAACACTGCTTGGCCGGGCCTCTTTGCCCCCCCCAGAGTTTTAATACGTTGCAGTTTTGTGGATAATAAATGGGATGTGAACATATAAAAAGTTGACAACTGTAGGAAAACCAAAGCTAAGTTACTGATGTGCTGGAAAGAGGAAGTAGCACCAAAGAGAGGCAGAAATGTGAGAAGCAGCCTGTTGGCGCAGTTCATTTGTGCCAAGAACTGATGTGAGCAAACACATTAATCTCGTTTTCCTGATAATATTATCCGGCCCTGATTGATTATACCCGTTTCACTGTGCACTCCGAGGTCATCCGGATAGAGCAGATTCACCCAGGAGTCACATTGACGCAGTCTGGCTCCGGAGACAACCGTTAAGCATTTATGCCATACAAAAATAAGGAATGTTTTGGGCAGAAGAAACAAGAACATAGACAATGTATTTTAAAAGACCACGTGTTTGAGGAGCAAAAGGAGTATCAGAATGTCAGGGGCCTGGAAAGGTAGACAGGGACACAATGTTGCAGCTTCATAGTTCATCTTAAGAATTTTTATTTTTTATTTTTTTTAAATCTAACCAATAACAATCCGAAGAGTTTTAAGCTGCGAAATATTACCGTTTTATGTAAGATTTGGAAATAGCCCCAAAGTTTAAAAAAAAAAGGAAGTAGATAACTACTATCCGAAAATAACTCTTCCTAAACTGTTAGAGATTAGCTAAATCTTTTCCCGTTTTGATCCCTAAAGGAAGTGCACTTTTTTTTAACAAACAAGAACATTCGTCTACATAACAAACAATATTCCAAATCTGAAAAATTTACACGAATGCATTATCAGATACCGTTCAGATTTGTAAATACCAGCAATGTGTTTGTAGCATCCAATGTGTTTGTAAGATCCAATGTGTTGAACTATCTGCTTCCTTTTTTTTTTTTTTAATTAGTGAGACACCATGAGGTATAGTTGTAGACTTACAAATTTTTGTGCTTGGGTTTCAATTATACAATAATCAATTACCCATCCCTCCACCAGTGCCCGTTTCCCACCACTGCGAATCCCAGTATACCTCCCACCCCCACCGCACCCCCATCCCACCCTGCCTCTGTGGCAGGGCATTCCCCTCTGTTCTCTCTCTCCTTTTGGGTGTTGTGGTTTGCAAAAGAGGCAATGAGTGGCAATCGTGTTTAGTCTATAGTCTACTTTCAGCATGCTTCTCCCATCCTGGGAGGATCCTCCCAACACCCTTTATTTGGTGCTCCCTTCTCTATCTGAGCTCCCTTTTCCCCTAGCATGTGTGGCTGGCCTCCAAGCCATGAAGCAAAATTCCTGGCACTAATTTCGGCCATTCTTGGGTGTTAGTCTCCTATTTTGTTACTTTATGTTCCCCAGATGAATGCAATCTTCCTATGTCTATCCCTCTGCTTCCTTTGGTTGACATAGTTTGAGATATAATCAGAAATAGTTCTTCAGTTTCATTTTTTTTTTATTTCTTCACTGAAGATTTTGAGATGTGTAAAGAATTCTGTTCACTTATATTCTTTTTTTTTTGATTATCTGTTTGTCCTGATAATTAGACTTAGGTTTATTATGGCAGAAATATAAATGTCATTATTTTCATTGGCTGGCCACAAATTTTGATTAATTTCATTATTAGGGTGTTACTTTTGATTGCTTGATGAAAGATGCCTCTGTGAAACCTTTCCACTATATAATCACATTCTTTTTGTAATTAAGAAGTACATTTTTGTAACTCCCAGTGCTTTAATGAAATAAAATTGGGAGGGAGGGGGAAAGAAACTGCTTTGTTGGGGAGGTTCTACTTTAACACTTGAATATCTGACTCAAACTTTTAATTTATATTATTATAAATTCCTATTTTATTCAAAGGGGATAAATTCCAGAGAAACCCACCACTCTCAGACATTACTGCAATATTCAGTCACTCTCCTCTCCACAGGCTCTGACTCTATGCCTTACCTAAGGGCTATTATCTAACTTGTTCTTGATAAGAAAATGCCACAATTATTTTTCACTGTGTATAGCTTGAAGACTATATTGAGAATGGTAGGAATAAATATAGGAAAGCTAGGTAGGAGAGTGTATGGCAATATTTCTGGTGATAGATGATGATGGCTTGGATAGGTGGAATTAGTGCAGATGTAGAAAATGAGCAGATGGAGAAAAAGTAAGACATAAAATATAAGATTGATGATGAATTGTTCATGGTGGGAAATGTGAAGACATCTCTAAATCAGTAACTGATATCAAGAATGTTCACTCGCTTCAGGAAAATAAAAGCCTTGACATCCTCAATATAGTAAATTAAAATTTGATGTAACAACTCTATTATGTATGAAATAGAAGAGAGTTGTTTTGTTCAATTTTTAATTCCACCTGGGAGATTGATATTCCACTTACAGGACCCAGTTTGTGTTACTTCTGAAAAGTTTTCTGTGTGCCATTCAAATATACTGAATTTTCCTTTGCTTATTATTGCATTTATTATTTTTTATTTATTTTTGCTTGCTTGGGCGCCAAACCCAGCAGTGCTCAGGGGTTACTCCTGGCTTTGTATTCAGGAATTACTCCTAGTGGTGCTGGTGGGACCATATGGGGTGCTAGGCTTTGAACTGTGGTCAGCTATGTGCAAGGCAAACACCTTAACCATTGCACTATTTCTCTGATTACCATATTATTGCAGTTATTATATTATATTGTAATTATATTTTATCAATTGTTCTGCTATAATGAATTCTTTGATCATCTTCAGTGCCTAGCTGGAGCAGGGTTTGGCACCTGTTCAATATACGTATTGCTATGTAATGAAAAAAATCAATATTATGTGAGAAGAGGAAAGAATAACATTTTATTTCCACCATTCTAATCTGACCTAGGAGAGAAGCATGCCAAGTCAGATGTAGCAATATAATAAATGTATGGGTGATACAATTTTGGACTTAACTTTGTGCTGATATTCTAAGATTAGAAACAGAAGAAAGAATAGGTGTTTTAAATTAAAGAATTTTTTGAATAGATTTGGGGTATTAAACATTTTATTTCTAAATAATGGCCAATAATAATATATCCTGAGAGTCTGCCTACTGTTTGCTAAATGGTGGTGGATTTGGGGTGTTGGTTATGGAGTATCTGAGAAGGTACCTAGAGAAGGCCATGGGATGCTGGTACTCTGGTGGCAGGTGTCATGTGACAGCCAAATTTCTTTGTCTTTTTTTCATTTTTTGGTTTTGGGGTCCCACCTGGCTCTGAACTCAGGGTTCACTCCTCATGGGGATCAGAGGACCATGTGTGGCGCTGAGGATCAAATCCACATTAGCAGAGTGCAAGGCAAGCACCCTACCTGCTGGCTATATTTCCACTTCCAATATTATATTCTTGGAACATTAATATTAACAGTATTGTAAGTCATTGTGCCTAACTTAAAACTCAATTAAGAAGATACTTTGACTTATGGAGCAGGAAACCGGCTACGAAGGCTGATGAGCGACTTGTTTAAAGACAAATGTTAATGGATGAAATGAGGATATGACTTATGTTTCTTGCTTTTCTTCTCCAATGTCTAATGATAATCATAATAACTCAAATTTAAATATGCCTCATATGCTGTGGACACGATTTCATTTTAGTTACCCTAAAACATTTGCCAAACAACTCTTGGAGGTATGGGTGATTATTGTATTAGTTTCCCATTATGAGGAAACTAGGGCAAAAGAAGGTTAAACTTTTTGCCCAACATTGCAAGTTAGTAGGTAGTAGAATTTGGATAGTCTAGAATAGTTTAGATATGGAGTCCATAAGAAGCATACAATAATTTAATAGAAATATTTTTGAAGCATTTGTTTAAATTAATGTATTATTTCGGTAGGGACTTTCATAGTCTATCAAGAATTGTCGAAGGAGTTAATTAATCAAGAATTAATAAAGTATTAATCATGATACTTCATTAGATAAGCTACCTGTGGCGTATTTGATATGCCAAACACAATAACAACAAGTCTCACAATGGAGACGTTAATGGGCCCGCTTGAGCAAGTT